GCAAACACAGTGATACCTCTCAGCGCACAGCTGGAGGGACGGGGAAGTCCTGCAAGCTGCAAATCATGCAAGCACGCTTTTGAGCTGACAGACTAGACTGCAGTCGCGGGGAATGAAAATACTCTCAGCTGTGTGCGTTTGCGCCGAACACTGTCAGTCTCTCCAGCGCAGAACATATTGAAGCATTTGGGTTCGGCCTCCACGTGGTACTGTTACTTTGCCCAATCAGTGAAAAAAAACAAACAGCTTTGGCCTCTTAAATGAGATCAAACGGGACACAGTATGCTTTTAATTAGACGCAGACTTCGCCAACACCACTTAAACCAGTGTAGCGCTTCTGTTTTTTTTTTCTTCTTCCCAACAGTCGGCTCATTATATCCTGCATTCGAGCCAGTTTGCCGCCCTTGTGGAGTCTTTGTGCTGGAGTGACATGTCCGAGCCTGGTCACATTAGCTCTGTGTGAAATAGGAAGTGTTTGGTGGAATGTGCCCGGGGCTCTGTGAAAACAGTTATGTGTAACATGCTTCCCCTCCTCTTTGTGTGTGTGTGTGTGTGTGTGTGTGTGTGTTGTAACTATATTTCCATTCCATGACCTGCTCTGTCCACTGCTATTGAAATGGAGCTTTGTAAAGGATGTGCAGAATATTTCATGTGTGTGTCTTTGTGTATAAAATATGCGTGCAGTTAGATAGCACTGGGTGGTATGGCCTAAATTATATTTCATTATGACGATATATTTACAGATGTTTTTTTAAGGAACACTTCCCCTTTTTTTGAAACAGGCTCATTGTTCAAGTCTCCGAGAGTTAAAAGGTTGACTTGAACCATTTTTGAAACCCTTCAGCCGATTTCTTTTTCTTGCTGAGTCACTGTTAGCTTAGCTTAGCATAATTCATTGTATCGGATTGGACCATTAGCATGTTTTACATGTATTTATTATAACACTTTTTGTTGATATTTAGGAATAACTACTTAAAGATACACTTTTTAAACAATCATTATATCAACCCCTGTTGTTGGTATGACAAAAATTCTGTTTCATAGTTAAAGGACTTTTATTTCATGGTAATGATATATTTCCAGATATAGTTATTTAAAGGAACCCCCCCCCCCTTTTTTTTTTTTTAAAACGGGCTCATTTTCAAGTCTCCTAGAGTTAAGCAGTTTACTTAAACTATTTCTGAAACCCTTCAGCCGATTTCTTGTTTTTGCGGAGTTATTGTTAGCTTACCATAGCATAATTCATTGAATCAGATTGAACCATTAGCATATTTTACGTGTGTTTATATTTTTTGTTTTGTTGTTTTCCAGGAATAACTAACCATTTAAAGGAACGCTATTTAAAAAAATCATTATATAAACCCCTGATGTTGGTATGGCCAAAATTCTGTTTTGTGGCTGGAGGACTTTTATTTCATGATATCAATATATTTTAAGATATAGTCAGTTAAAGGAAGACTCCATGTTCAAAAAAAAAAAAAGTTTCCTTTTACAAGTCTTCAAGAGTTAAGTTTTAGACGATTTCTTGTTCTTGCAGATTCACTGTTAGCTTAGCATAATTCATTGAATCGGATTGGACCATTAGCATTTTTTAGATGTATTTATTATAACACTTTTTTTGTTGATTTTCTAGAATAACTAACAATTTAAAGGAACATGTTTTTTGTATGTTTTGAATCATTATATCATCATGATAAAGATGTATTTCGAGATAGTTATTTAAAGGAACACTCCCCCTTTTTTAGAAAATGGCTCATTTTACAAGTCTTCTAGAGGTAAACAGTTTACTGAATTTCTGAAAACCTTCAGCCGATTTCTTGTTTTTGTATAGTCACTGTTAGCTTAGCTTAGCATAATTCATTAAATCGGATTAGACCATTAGCATATTTTATGTGTTTTTTATAACCCTTTTTGTTGATTTTATGGAATAACTAACCATTTAAAGGAACATTCTTTACATTAAAAAAACAAAAAATCATTATATTAACCCCTGTTGTTGGTGACCAAAATTCTGTTTCATGGTTTGAGAACTTTTATTTCATGATAGAATGGCAGAAGAAAAAAAAAAACGTTTCTGTTTTCTAGATTAGTAATTTTAGGAACTTTACTCAAAGAAAATCTGCTGCCGTAAAATGCCTGAAGTGGAGTGATTTTGCAAATGTTTAATACATAAGGTGTCTACACAGGACTTTAGCTTTTAATAGGAAAATGATCTAAACTTTATTTCAATGTAAATAACAATCTGTAGTAGTAATTTTACCCATAATATGCCTGAAAAAAAGGTTTCAGCAGTTCCCCACAGTGGTTTGAAATGTTTACGCTGATTGCATCATCAGGTTCAGGGCTCCTAATGGTTTATGGTCATTATGATAGACGACTCGCTGCATGAAATTTTCTTAAATCTTCTGACATGACCAGTTTTCATTTCATCGGAGAGAAAATTTGATCGAAACTCCTATTAACCAGCTGTCGGAGAACACATCAAACAAAAAATCTTAGCATAAGATTATAGGAATCTTTTAGGATTTCTTTCCTAAAGTTGTCAACCAAATCATGGCATAAATCTCAACATTGGTTCAAGAAATATTGAGATTCTGTAGTAATTTCAAGTCACTACTCAAATAAGCAAAAAGTCAACTACTTTGTATAAAACTGAAATGCTAATTTATTTAAGGAAGGTTTTTATCATTTTGGAAGAGCAAGTCATTTAAGGGTGGTATAATATCACAGAAATACTATGATGAAAGTTAGCAATTCACTTCAATTGTTATTCTAATAACATTATTTGGTGTCTTTTTGATACCAGCGTACTGGCCCAAAAACACACAGTAGCATATCATGTAACCAATATTTCATTCTAATTCTGTACACACACTGAAAAACAGAATCTTAAAGTTTTTAATGTCATTGTGGATATTCTTGTCTTTTATTTGTCAGCCAAAGAAGTCTTATTTTGAAATGCATTTTTTTCAAGTTTGCTGAACAGCTAACCGCAATTCTCAAGTGATTACAGAAACCTCAGGACTATGTGTGCAGTCTAAAAACAGCTCTTTCTGGGACATTAGACTTGAGCATGTTTCGACTAGAAACTGGAAAGTAGCTATCATTGCTGTGACCTGATGAAAATATCATTTAAAATGCATCAACACCATTACCTATAAGCCCACGTCAATTGTGGCAACCCAGGAACTACCAGTTGTCTCTTATCAACTAAACAACACTGAAATGCTACACTGTGAACCCATTCTTGTATGAACCAAAACAGACATAGTAGCTTCTATGGTGCAGTTTGCTCTAGTGTGCTTTAGTTTTAAAATGCATAAGTTTTGTTACGGTTTGGCCTGGCGTCCACACTACTCTCTAAGTGTTTTGAAAAAGCTGATGACCCCGTTTTAGGCGGGAAATGCTGAGGTTCAATTTCAGTGTGGATAGACACTGATACACATGCTGCGTTTGAGATCGCATATTTCCATACTATATAGTACGTTAAAAACAGTATGCGAGCCGAGTAGTATACAAAAAATGATATGCGAGAATTACCCAGATAACCTACTACTTCTGGCGAGATTCTGAAGAGCGCATCCAATTGACACAACTGGTACACAGCAAGTGTGTATGCTGGCAAAATATGCACATACCCTAGTGCAGGCGTGTCAAACTCAATTCCTGGAGGGCCGAAGCCCTGCACAGTTTAGTTCCAACCCTGCTCCAACACACTTACCTGTAGGTTTCAAACAAGCCTGAAGGACTCAATTAGTTTGATCAGGTGTGTTTAATTATGGTTGGAACTAAACTGTGCAGAGCTGCGGCCCTTTTGGAACTGAGTTTGACACCTGTGCCCTAGTGAATATAAATGGTCACGTTTTATGCATTTTAGGCTGTATAGTGTGGACAGCAGGGCTTAATTTGTGCCAGAACACTATAGATGCAGGACCTCTGAAATCTGATCTGGCACCTCATTTTACCGATCCCCCTCCTTAACCATCCTTCTCCCCCGTCCACTGATCCCTTTCACTTTTTTCTCTGACTCCCCAACCCTCTACACTTTCGCCCGCGACACCCATCCTACCCCCACCCCTCCACTCTTCACTTTCGTCCTTTGTCCGCAACACCTCTCCGCTATCTAACTCCCTCCCCTGCTCTACACTTTCGCCCAGCCCCAGTCTTTACTTCGCGTGCGACACCTCTACTTCCTCGGGTAGCATGCCAGATCCGTTACCCTGATCTGTTTCGGGACCTCGCAATTCACAAATTAGGCACTGATGGACAGGCACAGTTTTTCTTAAATGCAGTAAAAACACAGTCTTAATGAAAAATATTTACATTCTAAAATGCTGCTTAATAATAAAAATGCATTGGGATGCAGGTTCTAAACAATGTTTTTTTTTGGCTTTACGCTAAGAGTTTACAGTTAGCTGATGATTGATTATAAGAGAGCCCGGTAGAAAGCATTGAGCTTGGCAGGGCAAGAGGGAAGTTTGAGCTCAGGTAGGTCTCGAGAACTCCCTCCTTAATTAGTGCTAATCACAAACAAGGAATTGCCATAGAGATACACTACTGCTTAAGACTTCGCCTGTAGTGTCAATTTAGATTGTTCAGTTCACTTAAGACGCATGTCTTAGGATTGTGGGAGGAAACCGGAGAACTTGCGGGAAACCCACACGAGCACGAGAAGAACATGTAAATTCCACAGAGAAACATCAACTGGCCTGTTAAGGACTTAAAACAGTGAAGTTCTTGCTGTGAGGCAACACTGCTAACCACTGGGTCGCTGTGCCGCCCTATAAAAGGAAAAGAGGAGGGGTAAGGGTGGAAGGGGGGATTCTTTAAGGCAAACATAACTAAAGTAAGAAACTCTGATTATTTATAATAAGTTAGGAATCATCTGATTGGTGAATCACAAGCATTACCTAATGTGGGACCATCTGTGATCAATCATAAGCATGTGATCCTCTCGAAATGAGTTTATAATTAAACTTCACTGTGTCTTTTGCTTGCAGGTGTGCTGATTTGTCTTCTGGAGGGGCAACAGAAGGCTACATAAAATGACCCAATCTGTGCACATAACCTCCAAAGTGCCAAGTAAGTAATTGCTCTGCTGCTCTCAGTTGATAGTACTGTTTTAGGATGAATACATCTGTTATTTTTGCATTGTAGATCTGAGTGCCCCTTTTCATTGCTCTGCTGAGGAAGAATCAGACCAAAGTGGTGCTTATTCTGTACAGACACCCTACGGATTCGAGCTGGACCTTGATTTCCTCAAGTATGTTGAGGAAATAGAGAGTGGGCACAGCATTCGTAGGGCTAATGTGCACCCTCGGAGAGGATCTAGGAGTGACAGGCGAAATTTGAGTACTGGGGGTCGAACCAGCGGCTGGACCTCCACCGAGTCCCTTTCCTCAACAACTAGTGAGAATGGTCAGACTAACCAACCTTTTCTCCAGAGCCCAATCACACCACCTTATAAATCACAGCCACTTTCCCCATTACCAGTGATCAGTCCCAGTTTACCTACTTTCTCAAAAGTGCCACCACCACCTCCACCACGTAACCCTAGGGTGGAAAGAACACTTCTTGAAACTAGCCTCCGGCTCCAACAAGAGCAAAGTCAGTTTTCCAATGGATTAGGCTCCAATTTGGCTGACCTTTCCAAAGTGAGTTCCAAAACCAATGTATCTAATAGGGACTTCTCTGTAGGTTCTTCACAGCCATCAGAAGCCCCATTGCTACCGATGTCACATGTTATGCAGAACCCCCTTTCTGGGGCATGGACCAGAGCAAGTCCTCAGACTTCCGGATGGAGCACTCCAGCCTCAAACTCAGGAACAATGCCTCCTGGGCAGCTTCAGACAGTTCGAGAACAGATGGCTGCTGCCCTTAGACAGCTGAGAGAGATGGAAGAAAGAGTAAAAGGAGTACCAGTCCTGGAAAGAGAAGTTGCCATGCTCCGTGCAGAAAAAGAAAGGCTATCTGTGGAGCTTCAAAATAAAACAAAGGAACTTGAAGCAGCAATCAAACTGCAAGTACCCACTGAGGCAGTAGAGGAACAAGACAAAGAGCAAATCAAGAAAATACCAACCTTTGTTTTAGAAACAAAATCCATAGCAGTAGGTAATGATGTACCTCTTGAGAATGTGATAGTCTCTAATCGTCAAACGCTCAAGGATGCTGCCGTTGGATCAATCATCGATGTTTGTCACGCAGCTGTTGAAACTGAGGCTAATGCCATGTGTGATGAGGGAATTCAGACCACGGTGGATACAGAAGATGTGTCAGTCTGGGTCATTGAGTCATTTCTAGGGCTACAAAGCGAGGCGGAACGAGAAATTGACAACCTACAACACACCATCACGTTTCAACAGGAGTCAATTCAGGTTCTCGAGACACGATTAACTCAGGTCAACCAAGATCTCGAAACTTTAAGGGCTCAGGAAATTGAGAGAACCTCCAAGATCATGTTGGACAAAGAGACGACAGCTAAACCAGAGACAGTCAGCATCCGACTGGAAACATGTCCTGAAGTTTGTTCAGTGGGAGTGTTGTTTCCTGATGTGACTGACCCTGAGTATGATTTAAAAAAGGACCAAAGTATTCAAACAGATCCTGAGGAAACTTCTAAGGAACAACCTGTGGAGCTAATAAGCACTGGTGTCCAGTGGGAATGTCTTGATGACACTGAGCCACAAGACAGCGAGGAACAGACAACGTCTGCTGAGAGTGAGTATTGGTATTTTAAGTATGTCTGAAGTAATATTTATTAAAAATCATTATATTGATGGTTAACTAAGCCTTCACTGCACTAGCTGTGAGCACTTTGATGTAAAAAAACAAACAAAAAAACATTAAAAACATGTCATGACACATAGTAAAAATGCAAAGTGGCCAATAAGTGTACATTGTAGGGATAAAAAAAAAAATCCAATGTACATTTGTAGAATTTTTCGTTTATTATGATAAACTTTGTGTCGTTACTTTAGTGGTCAAGTGGGCATCAATGTGTGGATGTCAAATAGACTTCGAGGTTTCAACATCAAATCGATTGTTCATTCATTCATTCATTCATTTTCTACCACTTTCCCGGGCTGGGTCACGGTGGCAGCAGTCTTAGGAGAGAACCCCGACCCTGTGCCTAGACACTTCCTTAAGCTCCTCCGGGGGATCCTGAGGCTTGAAGGTGCTAATTCTCATTCTAGCCATGTTACACTCAGCAGCAAACCGCATGCTGAAGGTCCATGTGTGATGAAGTCAACATAACAACATCATCTGCGAATAACAAAGATTCTGTGGTCCCCGAACTGGACCCCCTCCAGCCCTAGGCTGCGCTTTGAAATGCTGTCCATAAAAACTATGAGCAGAATTGGTGACAAAGGACAGCCCTGCCAGAGTCCAACATGCATTGGGAACACTTCTGACTTGTTGCCGGCATTGCGAACCAGACTCCTACTCATACAGTTTCATACAGGGACGTGACAGCTTTTAACAGAGCGCCTCTGAGCCCATATTCCCCGAGCACCCTCCACAGAATGCCACGAGGTACAAGGTCGAATGCCTACTCCTAGTCCACAAAACACATGTGGACTGGTTGGGCATACTTCCATGAACCTTCGAGCACCCTAGTGAGGGTTAAGAGCTGATCCAGTGTACCACGGCCTGGACGAAAACCGCATTGCTCCTCCTGGATCCTAGGTTCAACCATCGATTAACATTTTTAATGTGTTTTTTACCATCATCCTTGATGTGAATTTGATTTCATTTTGAGGTCAAGGTGCCTGCTTGGAGTACTACTTTTGTTAAAGTAGAATTATAAATTTTTGCCATTGGTAATAATCAAAATGAACACTGTTAACCTTAAGGTCGTTACTTTAAATTCTATGTTAATTCAACCATGGCTGTTTAGTTTCAATTCGTGTATAGTAAGTTGATTAGGGCAATGGGATTCGATGCAATCAACTACCTTAGGTTAAGATTGCATGTAAAACAGATTAGAGCATGATTCAGTCAATGCAAAATGGATAAACTCATGCTTTATCTTAAATCAGGGGTGTCCAAACTCAGACCTGGAGGTGTCCTGCATATTTTAGTTCCAACCGCAATTAAACACACCTGAACCAACTAATCAAGCTTTTTCTAGGTATGCTAGAAACTTTCAAGCAGGTGTGTTGAAGGAAGTTGGAGCTAAACTATGCAGGACAATGGCCCTCCAAGAGTTTGGACACCCCTGTCTTAAATGGATTGGGAATGCTGTTTCATGTTAAACTCTGTCTAAGAAAACAGCATGTATTTTAAGGTTATCCATTAAAATTGATTTGTTTGCACTAAAGCTGCAGGCCCTCTGAAATCTATCATGAAGAGGAAGGATGGGAGTGGTGCTGGTGCAGCTTCCAGCAGCGGCAAAAAAAGCTTACAATTTGTCGGGATTCTAAATGGAGGGTGAGTTCAGTTTTTATACTATATCCAAAAATATTTCATAGAAGTACAATAGAAAATGAAAGTAAAAAATGATGCATTACAAAGTGCTTTTACCACGGTAAAATCAGTATCAAAGACTCTTGAGTGGCAAAAACACCAATATGTTATAGACAGTTGTTAAATGTATATGTACATATGTAAAATAATCTATCTTCTGTTAAATAATACATGAATTTAGAGCTGCAAATATCAATTTAGTCTTTTCTTATGTATTAATTTGTGCTCTTTAAAATAAGGTTATATTAGTTATTGTATTTACTAACATGACTGATTTACTTATTGTTCATTTCAACATATTAGGGTTGTCACATAACTGGAATTCAGTACCAATCCATACTGAAAACGTTCATTTCCTGCCAACATTTGAGCGATGTTGAGTGCGTTCTTAAACAGCGCTGATTTGCCATTGTGTTCACATGCTCAACAGAAATGACTGTGATTGGCTGTGAAGGTCATCAGTTCATCAAACTCACTGCTGTTTACTGAATGTAAACACAGATACAGGGATAATGGATCATTTGAAAGTCACGCCGATCAGCTGGTTTCTCTATAAGCTGACATACGAGTGATCTGCTGATGAATTGGGGCTTTAAAACGCTCCAGTGTCCCGGTATCTGTGTTTACACTCAGTAAACAGCGGTGAGTTCAGTAAACTGATCACGACCAATCAGAGTCATTTATGGGTTTAACAGCTTTCAAATGTCAGCAGGAAATCGAAGTTTTTAAAAAAAATTGTATCGATTGGTACCGAATTCTGCGACGCAGTGGCACAATAGGTAGTGCTGTCCACTCACAGCAAGAAGGCTGCTGGTTTGAGCCTCTGTTAGGTCAGTTGGCAATTCTGTGTGGAGTTTCATGTTCTCCCTGCGTTTGTGTGGGTTTCCTCCGGGTGCTCCGGATTCCCCCACAGTCCAAAGACATGCGGTACAGGTGAATTGGGTAGGCTAAATTGTCCGTAGTGTGTGTGTGAATGTGTGTGTGGATGTTTCCCAGAGATGGGTTGCAGCTGAAAGGGCATCCGCTGCGTAAAACGTGTGCTGGATAAGTTGGCAGTTCATTCCCCTGTGGCGACCCCAGATTAATAAAGGGACTAAGTTGAAAAGAAAATGAATGAATGGTACCGAATTCCAGTATTGTGATAACCCTAACATTTACTAATACATTATTACAATCCAAAGAATTGATTGTTAAGATAGGGATAAAGTACATCCAGGCGGTTGTTATCACAGAATAAAGCCAAGCATATTGGCTGTTATTGTGCGAAAAGACCACCTCAATGTTTTTTTTTTTTCATTTATTACACAGCGACTTGGCATAAAATGTTAAAAAAAAAAACTTGACACAAACATTGTACTGAGGCATGATAGTTTGACTGAAAGCAAAGCTGACAGAAACAAAAACAGCTGAATGGAGTATACACTAACCTACGTATTATTCAGTCACAAGATAGCATGGAAGAGTCAAAAAAACGTATATAAATACGAACGTGAACGTATTCACTGACTAAAAATTATTTAAAGTACCAGGATGAGCTTGTGTTATTAGTTTCAACTGGAAAGAAGGTACTTTGGAATGACCAATCAGCATTGAGTATTATATGTTATATCATTAGTTAATGCACTTTGAATAAACAAGGACTGACTTTATTTTCATTAACTGACATTAATAAAGATGAATGAATACTGTCATGTTTTGTTTATTGTTTGCTCATGTTAGTAAATAGATTAACTAATGGAGCCATATTGTAAATTGTTACTTGCTATTTAACTGAACTAAACTGAACTTAAACTCTGAAAACTGAACTGACGCTGTTTCAGTTGACTGTAATCTTCTATTTGCTGCTTTGACATAATCTACATTGTAAAAGCGCGATAGAAATAAAGTTGAATTAAATTATTTAAGTATGCATAATATTGAATTTCTCCTTAATTCTGTCAGGTATGAGTCGACGTCTAGTGAAGAGGAAGAGGAGGAGGAAGAGAGTTCCTCTGATGGCAGCGAGGCTGGTGCTTGTTCAGACAGCAGTGTGGAAGAAGCAGCAGCTCTAGAGGACACGTCTGATGAAGAGATGAATATAAATGCGGATGAAAGTGATAGCGATGAAAACATGCCAGCAGGGACTGAAGAGTTAAAGGATCAGGCAGAGGAAGTGAAGGAAAAGTAAGTATATGACGTTTTTTTGTGTTGACTGCCATAGCCATATCACTCTGCAGCCCAAGACCGGTTACTCACTGAAGCTAAGCAGTGCTGAGCCTGGTCAGTACCTGGATGGGAGACCACATGGGAAGACTAGGTTGCTGTTGGAAGTGGTGTTAGTGAGGCCAGCAGAGGGCACCCAACCTGCAGTCTGTGTGGGTCCTAATGCCCCAGTATAATGAAAGTGCAATAGGAGATTTTGGAAGATGCTAACATTAGCCTGATAGCGCTAAAAGCCTACATCCCACCTGGCAAATAGCTTGATAATTGGACAAATTTATTTAGTTCCTACACACCTTCCACAAAATATTTAAATACAAACAAATACAATTGGACTACTTAATTTAATGATTGTTAAGGATTAATAATGGGCAACACGACATATGTATATGTATATATACAGTTGAAGTCAGAATTATTAGCCCCACTTTGAATTTTTCTTCTTTTTGAAATGTTTCCCAAATAATGTTTAACAGAGCAAGGAAATTTTCACTGTATGTCTGATAATATTTTTTCTTCTGGAAAAAAGTCTTGTTTTTTTATTTCGGCTAGAATAAAAGCAGTTTAAAATTTTAAAAACACCATTTTAAGGACAAAAATTATTAGCCCCTTTAAGCTATATTTTTTTCAATAGTCTACAGAACAAACCATCGTTTTACAATAACTTGCCTAATTACCCTAACCTACTTAGTCCCTTTATATTATTATTATTATTATTATAAAGGCTTTGCTCGGAAGCAATCATGCAAACCAGGTTCTGCTCGAAAATGGCTGTCTTTGCTCAGCATCAGGTGCACAGCACATGATGTTAGGCAGCAAACTTACACAAAAGTGTCATAATACTGCTAATATGTTTTTATTAATTTATGCATACGCAGTGAATGTAAGCCTGCTAACTGATCAAATGATAGAATATGTAAACTTATATATAAAAATTATATATATATATAATATATAATATAATTAAAAGCTTCGGTGTTGATCCGCAAAGGGCTCTTTTTTTGGTTGGCCAATCAGATGAAAAAGGGTATTTCAGCACCGCCTACACGTGTATAATGAATTTTAAAGTTGTTTATCTGTTTTCCTACTCTAAATTAAAAAAAAAAATTAAATCTAGCCAAAATCGTCCATTTTCTTAGTCTTCCTTTTTTTAGTTTGAAAACGAATATGAAATGGACGGAAGATTATGACCCTGATTATGATTGTCTCAACAATAACATCATGAGTTTTTTTTAATGATGAAAACTTTGTGTATAGATGTGGCTACTGAGAACATGCGAGTGACCACACGCACCACACGGTACAGCACAAAATGGTCATTTAATGCTTTTTATTTTTGACTTTAAAAACAATAAAAATTTAAAAAAATATTAAAACAGTGGTTAGCACTGTCGCCTCACAGCTAGAAGGTTGCTGGTTCAAGCCCCGGCTGGGCCAGTTGCCATTTCTGTGTGGAGTTTGCATGTTCTCCCTGTGTTGGCCTGAGTTTCCTCCGGGTGCTACGCCTTCCCCCACAGTCCAAAGACATACACTATAGGTGAATTGAATATATTAAATTAGTTGTAGTGTATGAGTGTGTGTGAGTCAATGAGTGTGTACTGCGTTTCCCAGTATTAAAAAAAGATAGCAAATACTGTGGAATTGTAATTGCTCTGTTAAACTTCACTTGGTAAATATGTAAAAAAGAATAAAAAATATATAAATCACAGCAGGGCTAATAGTTTAGCCTTCAGCAGTATATATGTACTTGCATGTAATACACACAACTATAAATGTTTATTTTTAATCTCACAGGTTTGAACTTAGCTCCAAAATGCGTGAGGCTTGCCTTATTTTGAAGAACCATCTTAACGACGGAGAAAAGGCTGTAAAGAGTAAAGAAGTGGTGGGGTTACATTTCAGTCATTTCATTTTCACTGTGGATATTATTCCTGATTAATGATTTTAAAATGTCAAACGCGATAATAAACTGTTGGGGTTATTGTTGTTCTGTCCTATAACGCAGTTGTCCAGCACTCATAGCGTTCAGCTGGAGTGGTTTCGAGTATCCAGTGCAAAGATGGCCCAGCCATTACGTGTGTCAAATTACCTGATGGCGTTCTCCGAGGTCTCCCCCGTCCTGCTGGAGCACATTGTCAACATGACCGACGGCAACGGCAACACTGCTTTACACTACAGCGTCTCCCATTCCAACTTCGCTGTTGTGGACCTACTGCTTGACACAGGTTACTACAAATTACTTAAGACTCTCAAACACTCTAAGACACACATACACTTTATTTTCTGTTATACTCCATTTAAAATCTAAAAACTAAGCTAATTGTTCAAATGTCAAAGACTGTGATAAAAAACAATCCACAATTACTTCTTATATTGAAAACAAGTCATTTTTGTTTGTTTGTATCACCAAATCAGTGACATCATTTATGAACGTGTCAATTAAAGAGTCAAAATTCTGTATTTAAAAAAAACATTTAGTAGTTTTGGATCAGGACTGAGGTAATTAACAGATTTATGCAGAAAAATACAAATCTGATACGTTTTTACAGCAATTTAATTTAGTGCATGTTTTTATCCCTAACATAACGAAAGGGTAGTAAATTTGCTCAGTGTGTTGTTGAGTTTTTTTTTCTTAATATGTGTAAAAATAAATAATGATGCACCGATACCATTTTTTTTTAACCAATCCGATCCTGATACCAAAATTCGGAGTATTGATTATGTATATTAACAGGAACAAATAGTCTTGGAGAAAGTTTTTCGTGTTGTTATGAACGAGACACGCTGTTTGAATTGTGAATGAATGGAGAACAATTGACAGGCGCGGCGGGAAGCGCTGAACTGAACATTTATTTAACCACGTGAATATTCATCTGTACTTCACATTAAACTATAGAATAGATTTAAAACATTTGGGATATAGTAGGCCTACATGACAACTTTCTAGGCCCTTTTAATAGGCTGCCTTCATGGCTTTTGTTTGCTTATAAATTACACAGAATATAGCACACGCACAAGATCGGATTTGGATCGGTTCCAGCTAACAGATACCTGATCCTGCAAAAATATACGATATCAAACCGATATCTGATCCAAGTATCGGAATCGGTGCATCCCTAAAAATAAGATTTTTATTCCACTAGCTGAAACACAGAAAAAGTTGTGGCCAAATTAAGACTCGAAATGTTTTTGAGACATCCCCAACAGCACAAGACTGATATAATCATATTTAACTTCTTTACAGACATAAAGTTAACGTAGAAAAATGCTAAGTAAAGATCGTTCACACAAAAATGAAATTTTACTCACCCACAACTGGCTTCAAACTGAGTTTCTTCTGTTAAACACACAAAAAAGGTAATTTGAAGAATGTTAGAAACCGGTAACCATTGAAATACATTGTGTGAAAAACAAAGAAGTCAACGGTTTACGATTTCCACTATTTTTCTTGAATGTTGAACTTTTGTGTTCAACATAAGAAAGAAACTGAAGGACGAGGAACATTTGGATCAGGAACATTTAATGCTTTTTAATTTTGTCTTAAAAAATAATAATAAAAAGTGTAAAAGAAAAAAAGTATATTAAAACAGTGGTAGCACTGTTTCCTCACAGCAAGAACGTCGCTGGTTTGAGCCCTGGCTGGGCCAGTTGGCATTTCTGTGTCGAGTTTGCACGTTCTCCCAGTGTTTGCATAGGTTTCCTCAAGGTGCTCCAGTTTCCCCCACAGTCCATATACATGTGGTATAGGTGAATTGAATAAACTAAATGGCCCATAGTGTTCAGCATAAGAAACTGAAGGATGAGTAAACGATGACAGAGTTCTCAGATTTGTGTGAACAATCCCTTTAACTATATACTCCAGGAAACTGAGTCATGCATATTCAGTTGCGTGTGTGTGTGTGTGTGTTGATGTGCAGGCATGTGCAATGTTAATCAGCAGAATAAAGCCGGATATACAGCTGTGATGCTGGCCGCTCTTTCAGCAGTGAAGGAGGAGGATGAAATGGCCGTGGTCCAGAAACTCTTCCGTCTGGGAAACGTCAATGCCAAAGCCAGCCAAGTAAGACACATAGCTGACTAGATCTTCATCTGTGACTAAGTCTTCCTACATTACATTTTTTACCACATTTTTACTATAAAAGTCAAAAACAAAAACCCTGTTATCGTTCATCTATCTTTTGGTCGTTTGATTTTTCTTTACAGAAATGGGTTTTGAAAAACAAAAAAAAGAGCCATTATCAGAATTATTAGCCCCCCTTTGAATTTTTTTCCTTTTAAAATGTTTCCCAAATGATGATTAACAGAGCAAGGAAATCAAGGCCTGTCTGATAATAGTTTTTCTTCTGGAGAAAGTTGTTTTATTTCGGCTAGAATAAAAGCAGTTAAAAAAAAAAAGCCTTTTTAAGGTCAAAATTATTAGCCCTCTTAAGCAATATTTGTTTCGATAGTCTCCAGAACAAACCATCTTTATACAATAACTTGCTTAATTACTTTAACCTGCCTCGTTAACCTAATTAACCTAGTTAAGCCTTTAAATATCTCTTTAAGCTGTATAGAAGTGTATTGAAAAATATCTAGTCTAATATTATTTACTGTCATCATGGCAAAGATAAAATAAGAAATGTGTTTTGAAATGTGTTGAAAAAAAAATCTTCTTTCCATTTTATCCAAAATAAAAAGTAACGGGGGGTGGGGGGGCTAATAATTCAGTAAATAATTAAATCATTTTAAATTTGATATATATTAAGATTAATCTCAGTGTAATCTTGGAATTAATCTAGAATCAAATGGCTCATTTGACTTCTGCCGAAGACATCCAGATTATGTGTGCTTCCCAAATAATGAAGAAAATTACGTCTTTGAGAACGGGTTTCTCAAGCCAGGTGGCGCATTAGACCAGGGGCTCCTGTTTCCAAAATGCATCACAAACTGCTTGAGAAACTGTTCTACTATGATAGCTGGTGATGAAAATAAATGATGTTCAATAAGATGTACTTGTGTTTACTAACTGTTTATTCAGTTAAACATGAATTGTGAACTGTAGGCTTACATAAGCTCCAAACAACGATTTTTGATAACCTTAATCCGACTAAACTCATAACTGAACTAAACAGAAATGGAATTAAGACATGTGGAGTATGCAGATATTAGTGGCATTACTGAAGTAAAAACCACGCTCAAACTATTACCGTCATGTAGGACTTTTCACTATATTTTCTCACAAGATCCACACACACAGACACACACACACATCGCGAAATGCGAAAGTTTTTTTCTTTTCATTCAGCGCACGTTATTAAATTCCACAACACTTTCACCAGTCCTTCCTCCTTATTTGCGTCTAATACCTCAGTTTGTCACAGAGGCATGAATGAAATGTTCATGAGTGAATGTGAAACTGCCGAACTGCAGTTAAAGTCACCCAAAATTACAGGAAACTCTTACATGAAAGCACTTCACGTAAACACCTTAACTATATTATTTACTATTAAGGCAAATAACTAGACTACAGATGTCCATTTAAGCGTAGTTTAGCTGTCTTCAATCTCAGTGAAAGATTCTGAAGGGCACTTTTTAGTCAGACGGCTCACCGATTTGACTTCATTCACGGTCATTCATTTTAAAAAGCACTCGCTCCATTTTATTTGTATATGTTTTACTCGAACGCATAAACTCTACAGGTGCCTGATAGTTAGATGTGTAGCTAACATTAATCAGATTCACTCTACTGAACTGCATCCATGTTAGCACGTCACGTTTGATGTGATAATTTTACAATAGGAATACACACAGGTTCGGTGACTCGTTCTCGCCACCTACAGTGCAATTCGGTCAGGTATACATCCGCGCTAAAATATCAAGGTGAAAGTCATCATAGCTTGCGTAGAATAGACCCAGCTCCCAACCCAACTTCGAGAATAGATTAACAGCGACATTTTTTTAAGTGTCTCGCGTCAATGAAGCATGTTAATTACAGCCCAGCACTAAGACGGCACGGTTTTTGCATCTGAACTCTTCATATACAGTATATACATACATATATATGTTTTGGTCTGTGTGTGGTTCTAGGCAGGACAGACTGCTTTGATGCTGGCCGTCAGTCATGGGCGTCAGGAGATGGTGCGAGCGCTGCTAGATTGTGGCGCTAATGTGAACATCCAAGACGATGAGGGCTCCACCGCTCTAATGTGCGCAAGCGAACACGGTCGAGCTGAGATCGTCTCCTTACTGCTGGAACAGCCGGGGTGTGACATTTCAATCGTCGACAATGTGAGTACTACAAACGGGGCATGGACTGAAAATCTGGGCCACATTGACATTTTTTAGCGTGTTTTTTCTCATTTTTTGGCTGATTTTTACTTTCGGCCAAAAAAAAAAAGTTAATTCAGAGTGTCTGCAAGGATCTGAAAAAGTATTAAAAGGTGATAAATCAATTATAAGAAAATTAAGGCCCTTAAAACGTATTAAAAAGTCTGAATTGTGTTTTTCAGAGGTCTTAATTTTTGTTTAAGCGCTGTCACAAGTGTTTGACATTGACATTTATTTATTGTCCTCCTAATATTAATAACCGTGTGCTATTCATGCGATGTTCGAGCTGGAAGCTCCTCTGTCTGGGTGGTGTCACGTAATTTGCGACAGACACAGGGAGGTGATGTGACGCTCTACACATGTAGCGAAACCATAGAGCGAAACAGACGGCAAAATGGGAAAATGTAGGTTTGCGCACTCCTGGTTGCAGATAGACAAGTTTAAACAGCGACTGAAGCTTGTTGCTGAAAACAACCGCATAATTTATTCTTTCAGGCTTTATTTCTTCCGAGCTTATTCGAGTTCTGTTGCGTGGTTGTCCTCCATTGATTTATTTACGTACAACTGTTTATTAAGTTAAAGGTTTGAGATACTGATTACAACTTGAAGTAGCGATGTGGTCTTAAAATATTCTGAGAAGGTCTTTAAAAAGTCTTAAAAAGGAATTGAAATTACCTTTAGGATTCCTGCATATACCCTGTAATTGTCAGTGGCTGAAGATTTGGTACATCTCTACTACAAACACAATACAGAAATACAGAAACACACTACAAATAACGCAGACCACAATGGAAATGTGTCAGGAAACCCCAAAAATTGAGGAACCAGGCTGCTTCCTGGATGCAAGTGGCATTAAAAGCCGCTTATAAATATATAAGCAACAAGGAATTGTATGACCAGGATCTTAAAATAAATAAAAAGCTCAGCTGTCAGATCTCCGACAACAACGTTGACTTTAAACAGGAAGTAGCTGGATTTGTCAGTTGGACACTTTTCCATTGTGGTCTCTGCTATTTGCAGTGTGTTTCTGTTTTTGCATGACTTTACGCGTGTGTGCTGTTGTCAAATTGATAACGTTTTTTCAAACTGCTGCCACCAGTTGTTCCGAAACAGAGATTACAAATGTTACATTGTTACTCTTTGCTCTTGGTGCGGTTCACTTTCACACTGCCAAGTTTCTAATCGGACCACAAGAGCTAAAACAACTCACGTGTGAGTAAACTCTCCTCACATTGGTCAGTGTCAGGGTTTATTTTGCAGAATCCGGCTCAGCTGTCAGTTGAGGTGGTGGTTTGGTGGTGTTTGACAATGTGCGCGCGATGTGTCTGAAGATTGAGGAGAGATGCAGTGGGGAGGGGTGAGAAGGGTGCGCGACGTAGCCTATTTGAGGACCGTGAGATTACCGGAAGATTATCACTCATTTGCAGGCATCCGGAAACTCGCGAAAATTCCCTCTCTACTCATAATTCTCTCTTCATATAGCCGTATGCCTATTACATATCCATAAAACAGTGATATAACCGCGCTCGGAACCTTGGGTTACTCACTGCAATCGATCCGCTCCAGAGTTCGTTTCAATCGAGCCGAGACCACCTCATTCAAGCGATCTCGGAGCGATTGATTTGTTGCGGATCCGAGAGCGATTTGTGGTTTCACATATGCTAAACGAACCGCACTAACTGGGCAAATGAGACAAGTTCCGAAACAAAAGTGTAGGTGTGAAAGCACCCTAAGACAGTCCAACAATGGCGTTATGGACTTAAGCTGTGCATCATCTCCATAAAGATGAAATGAAATCCTATACTTTCTGCAAATAGACCCTAACGGAAGCAGATATAAGGAAAACAGAATAGGTCCAAGAATAGAATCCAGCGGTACTCCACATGAGAGAGATGCTGATGAGGACATACACTCGCCTAGGCAAACAGAGAAGCTTCTGTCAGATAAATATGACCGAAACCATTCCAAGGCAATACACTTAATACCAACACAGTGCTCTAAACGAGAAACTAACATCTATACAAATAAATCACAAATTAAATGAACACATAGAGGACAAATAAATCGACATATTTGAATGTGTTTTATTTAAATTGTGTACTGATTCAGTGGAGGTAGAGGTCACTTCCTGTTGCCTTTATATGGCATCCAAAGAAAGTGTGTTTTCTTAAATTATTAAAATATTGCTCTGTTCCTTTAAATCAGGGGTGTCCAAACTCGGTCCTGGAGGGCTAGTGTCCTGCTGAGTTTAGCTCCAACTTCCTGCAACACACCTGTCTGGAAGTTTTAAGCATACCTAGAAAGAGTTTGATTAGCTGCTTCAGGTGTGTTTGATTGGGGTTGGAACTAAAATACGCAGGACACCGGCCCTCCAGGACCGAATGTGGACGCCTCTGCTTTAAATCTTAAACTATAAAAAATTTACTGCAAAAAGAAACAAGTCATACCCTGAATGTCACTGCACTTTTAGCTTGACAGTTCATTATGCATCGGCTTTTTGTTTCTTTAGGATGGCAGTAATGCTCTGTCCATTGCTCTGGAAGCGTCCCACAATGACATCGCTGTTTTACTGTACGCCCACATGAACTACTCAAAAACACAGGCGGATGTAAGTCCTCTCTCACACACACACACACACACGCAGCAGAATCTGAGCATGAGTACTTTACAAGTCGTGTATGCAGAATGTCATTTCTGTTATTATTATGATTCACTTGTGTCGTGCATCTTCACAGTAAGATCATATGTTGAGAATGTGATTATCTCATTAAATATTATTCATATTTCATGTGATGTTTCGAGTTTATTTTAATAATTAGTATTGTTTTAACGCACTGTGAACACAATAAAATATAGACTAAAAGAGTAAAGTTCATAGACAGACTTTATGGTGTCTTGAGAAAGCCTCGTCTGAAAGTTTGAAGTAGTTTTAAAGTTTAAATTATTGAAGCAGATTTTAAACAGTGTGAAACAGTCGGCATAGATAGAGAACTACATATATATTAGCATGTTTCCGGTAAGGATTGGCATGTTTCTCGCTAGGCGGTTGATAGGGGGATCTGAGTGGTTGGTAGGGTATTGATAGACAGTTACTACGGTGTTCTGAGTGGTTGCTAAGGTGTTGTTTGGATGTTTTGACTGGTTGTTGAGGCTTTGCTAGTCGGTTGCTAGGTTATTCTAAGTGGTTGATAGGGTGTTCTAGGTAGTTGTTAAGGTGTTGCTAGGCTGTTGCTGAGTTGTTGCTATGCAGTATTGAGTAGTTGCTAAAGCATTGCTAGGGTGTTTTTGGTTGCTAGGGTGTTCTGAATAGTTGCTAAGGTCTTGCTAGGTGGTTGCTTTGGTGTGACTAGGCGATTGCTATGTTGTTCTGAGGGGTTACTAAAGCATTACTAGACAGTTGCTAAGATGTTCTGAGTGTTGCTAGGGTGCTTCAGGTAGTTGTTAAGGTGTTGCTAACCGGTTGTTAAGTTGTTGCTATGCAGTTTCTAGGGTGATTTGAGTAGCTGCTAAGGCATTGCTAGGGTGTTCTGAGTAGTTGCTAAAGCGTTGCTAGGTGGTTGCTAAGGTGTTGCTAGGTTGTTCTGAGTGGTTGCTAAGGTGTTCTGAGTAGTTGCAAATGCAGTGCTAGGTGGTTGCTAAAGTGTTGCTAGGTGGTTGCTAAGGTGTTGCTAGGTTGTTCTCAGTGGTTGCTAAGGCATTGCTAGGTGGTTGCTTGGCGGTTGCTAGGCCATTGTCAGGGTGTTTTGAGTGATGGCTAGGTGGTTGCTAAGGCATTGCTAGGTTGTTGCTAAGGTTTTGCTACACAGTTGCTGGGGTGTTTTAAGTAACTGCTAAGGCATTGCTAATGTTTTTGGTTACTAGGGTGTTCTGAGTACTTGCTAAAGCATTGGTAGGCAGTTGCCAGGTGGTTGCTAGGCAGTTGCTAAGGTGTTGCTAGGCTGCTAGTCTGAGTTTAATGAGCCTAACCTTAAGTCTGTATGACAGTCTGGTGGAAAGTTATGAGGTCCTATGCAAAGTCAATGGGAGTTTTCGAAATTTTCCAGTTCAGTTTTTCGGAAAACCGTAAGTCTGATTAGTTGGGAAAAGATATAGCAACCCGAGTCAGAGCAGTTTGGAGGTTTGGTGTTAGTTTGGTGGTTAAAGAATTTATGATCTAGGAAGAGATTCTGAGAAATTGGTCTCAGAAGAAGAAGACAGAACAATAATACATTTCTGTAGTATAACTGTGTTGGCTTTCTCAAGCCACCATAATTAAAAAACATTCATTAAAGAGTTAGTTCACCCCAAAATTAATTTCTCATATATATATAAAGATTTTAAACCTTTATGAGTTTCTTTCTTCTGTTAAACAAAAAGAATATATTTTGAAGAACGTTGGTTGCTGGAACCTATAAGCTTCCATATTAGGAAAACAAAAATACCATGAAGGTCAATGGGTGCCAGCAACCAGCATTCTTTAAAATATCTTCTTTTGTGTTCCACAGAAGAAACTTAAAATTGTGGGTGAACTGTCCCTTTAATAGGTTATTTTAGCTAATGTTAGCAAATTGAAAATTATTTTATGGTTAGCAATGACATTATGGGAAGTGTGTACTATAAATATTGCCATTATTAGCATGATATAATGATACATTTTATGATGTAACTTTAATTGTTATTATTATTTTCTTTTTGGTTGTTTAGGCATCACCTAAAGCAAACTCCCGGAGCCCATCCAGCCCTAGAAAAACATGGCCCTCGGAGTAAAAAAAGGGCATATCACGAGCAAAAATGGATATAAAACGAACTAACTAGCTTTACTGGAAGATTAACAAAGCCTATGTTACAAGTCATATATACTGTATTACTGAATATTCATTTTTACGCACATATTTAATTAACTATGCTGCAGCATAACTATGTAAAATACTATGTATACACGTTAATGTTTACTTTTTAATCTCCAAAAGGTGTATTTACTATGGTAAATGTATTATACCGTGATATCAGTGTTTGAAATAAGGTGTTTGGGATAAATCACAACATAGCTGAGATGTCATGTTGATTACAGGGTTCACAGACTTAACCTTTGTTTTGATTAGCGGTTTAGCTGCGATGTTTTGCTTGGCTTAGACAAACCCATCATTAAAAAGGGTTCAGACATATTGCTGAAGATTAAAGGAATGCTTGACTTTTTAAGAGGCCGTTTTTACACTTTCCAAGAGTTTGTTGAGTAATTCAGGCGATCTCTGGGTCTAGCGGGAGCACTTTTAGCTTAGCATACATTATTAAATCTGATCTATGCTGGGCTAAAACTGGTACCTCATACAAAGTTCTAAATGAATTTTAAAAAGTCAAGCTGTTTTGTATTCATGTAGCTAATCTATGTGTCGGACAGGAACATTTAGCTTAGCATTAGCTTTAAGATGCTAATGGTCATACCTGACTCTATGATATTCTAAGCTAAAAGTGCTCCTGTCAGGCAGATAGATGAGCTAAATGGATACAAAAACAGTTTGAACTTATATATGTGTCTGACAGGAGCATTTTTAGCTTAGCATTAGCTTTAACTTTTCATCCACTCTGAGGTAATTTTAAGGCTTAATGGCGGTCATTTTTGAGCAAGATGCTAATGGTCACCTGATTCTGTGATGCTAAGCTAAGCAAAAAGTGCTCCTGTCAGACAGAAATTGGTTAATTGGATTTATAAACGGTCAAACTGTTTTTATATCATTTAGCTTAACTATGTGTCAGACAGGAACATTTAGCTTAGCATTAGCTTCAGCTAGCTTCAACGTTTCATCCATTCTGATGTGATTTAAAGTCATTGGGTGTTTATTTATGAGCAAGATGCTTACGGTCATACCTGATTCAATGATTTATGCTAAGCTAAGCTAAAAGTGCTCCTGTCAGGCACATAGATAAGCTAATGAATACTAACTAAAACAGTTTGACCTCATCTGTGTCTGACAGGAGCACTTTTAGCTTAGTATTACCTTCAACCTTTTATCCACTCTGAGGTGATTTTAAGCCTTAATGGGAGTCATTTTTGAAAAAGATGCTAATGGTCATACCTGTTTCTATTATGTTCTGCTGAAAATGTTCCTGTCAAACACAGAAATTGGCTTGATGGATTTATAAAAGGTCAAACTGTTTTTGTATCTATTTAGCTTATGTGTCTGAAAGGAACATTTAGCTTAGCATTAGCTTTAGTTAGCTTCCACTCTGATTTGATTTTAAGTCATTGGTGTGTATTTTTGAGCAAGATGCTAACGGCCATACCTAATTCAATGATTTATGCTAAGCTAAAAGTGCTCCTGTCAGGCGGATATAAATGGATACAAAAACAGTTTGAATTAATCTGTGCCTTGACAGGATCCCCTTTAGCTTAGCATTAGCTTCAACTTTTCATCCACTCTGAGGTGATTTTGAGTCTTAATGGCGATCTTTTTAAGCAAGACGCTAATGGTCATACCTGATTCTATGATGCTAGGCTAAGCTAAAAGTGCTCCTGTCAGATACATAGATGAGCTAAATAGATACAAAAACAGTTTGACCTTATCTATCCGCTTGTTAAGTGGTGACGTGTTTGTGACGTATGTAATACTGTTTCCGGGTCCAAGTGGCCATTCATTTGAGTAGAGAAAATATTCGTTTATGATCACGTTTTATTCCTATTACACATTAAAGTTATTTTATATAAAATTATAATGTACACAACAATCTCTGGGCTTGCTACATAACAAATACCAAAAATGTAACTATTTAAAAAAAAAAATTATCACTTTCTGGCCATCGGATATTAGGCTTGGACATATATACTGCAATCGTGATTTTCGAAAGCCTTAAATCGCTTTGTAAACGTTTATTATTACCATTTCATGAGTCTCCCCTTTCAGTTGAATAGAGCGCTTGGACCCGGAAGTCGCTTTGCGTGACGTCACACTTAACAAGCGGATGTGTCTGACAGGAGCACTTTTAGCTTAGCAATAGCTTTAGTTAGCTTCAACTTTTCATCCACTGAGATGATTTTAAGTCATTGGTGTGTATTTTTAAGCAAGATGCTAACGGTCATACCTGATTCAATAATTTATGCTATGCTAAGCTAAAAGTGCTCCTGTCAGGCACATAGATAAGCTAATGGATACAAAAAAAGTTTGACCTTATCTGTGTGTCTGACAGGAGCACTTTAGGTTTAGCATTAGCATCAGTTAGCTTTAACTTTCCATCCGATTTTGAGTCTGAGTCATTTTTGAGCAAGATGTTATTTCATACCTGATTCTATGAAGCTAAGCTAAAAGTGCTCCTGTCAGACTGGTTAAATTTATAAAAGGTCAAACTGTTTTTGTATCTATTTAGCTGATCCAAGTGTCTGACAGGAGTATTTAGCTTAGCATTAGCTTCAACTTCATCCACACTGAGTTGGTTTTGAGCCTTAATGGCAATCATTTTTGAGCAATTTTTTGGATTTATAAAAGGTCAAACTGTCTTTGTATCCATTTACCTCATCTATGTGTCTGACAGGAGCATTTAGCTTAGAATTAGTGTCAGTTACCTTCAACTTTTCATCCACACTGAGGTGATTTTGAGTCAATGTCAGTCGTTTTTGAACAAGATGCTAACGGTTAAACCTGATCCTATAATTTATGCTAAGCTAAGCTAAAAGTGCTCCTGTCAGGCACATAGATAAATGGATACAAAAACAGTTTGGCCGTATCTATGTGTATGACAGGAGCACTTTTAGCTTAGCATTAGTGTCAGTTACCTTTAACTTTTCATCCACTCTGAGGTGATTTTGAGTCTTAATGGTGGTCATTTTTGATCTGGATGCTAATGGTGATACGTGATTCTATGATTAGCTAAAAGTGCTGCTGTCAGACTGAGATTGGCTAAATGGATTTAAAAAGGTCAAACTGTTTTGTGTCCGTTTAGCTGATCCATCTGTCTGACAGGAGCATTTAGCTTAGAAGTGGCTTTAGTTAGCTTCAACAATTCATCCACTTTAAGGTGATTTTAGTCAGTCATTTGAGCAAGATGCTAATGGTCAGATTCATTGATTTATGCTAAGCTATGCTAAACGTTCTCCTGTAAGTCGAATGAATTAAAAAAAACTGGTTTTGTATCTATTTAACTTATCTATGTGTCAAGAGCACTTTTAGCATAGCATTAGCTTTAGTTAGCTTCAACTTTTCATCCACACAGGTGATTTTGCCAGTTATTTTTGAGCAATGCTAATAGTCATAGCCTTCTAGATTCTATGATTTATGCTAAGCTAAAAGTGCTCCTGTCAGACACAGAGATTGGCTAAATGGATTTTAAAATAGGCGAACAACTGAGTTTCACCATTTTCTTTAATCCATTTAGCTGATTTATGTGTCTGACAGCAGCACTTTTAGCTTATCGTTAGCTTTAGCTAGCTTCGACTCTCTGGGGAGTTGTAAAATGAGCCTATTTCTAAACAAAAGTGGAGTGTTCCTTTAAGCTGAATCCTTCATCCTGCTGTTTGGAAAAACAAAACCCCTCAGTAATCATCCAACACACACACTGTGGCTACACCTGTGAACACACTGCGATTATGTGCTGTGTGAAAAAGGCTAGCAACAAACACCCACATGTACTCCACCCGTGTTTTATCCCGCAGAGATTTATGTTTATCCTCCAATATAATTCAATAAACCTCAGCCATTACTGCAATAGTCTGTCATGTCTGGATCCGTCACGTCGTCTTGACCAATCATACAACAGAACTTCACTTAAAGGGACAGTTCACCCTGCCTCATAATAACAAGTGCTGTTAGTTAACTCTATGATTCATAAACCGCAGGTCAGTGACTACCTCTACTGTAAAAACATAGTAAAAAATGACAAGATACAGTCGAAGGCAAATGATTAGCCTTTTAGATTAGATGTTTTTCCCCATTATTTCTTTAGTGCTGTTTAACAAAGTTTTTTTTCTACAGATTTTTGAACACAATAGTTTTAATAACAAATTTCTAATAACTGATTTATTTGGTCTTTGCCATGATGACAGTACATCATTTTTTACTCATTGGTTTGGAAAACATTAGTTGAGCATTTAGTTATAAATATTACATTAATTAGGATATCCAAAATTAGGTTATCCACAAAGTAATTAAGTCACTGGACAACAATTGTTCTGTAGCCAATCATAAAGACCATTACCGAAAAATCATACTCAAGTAAAAGTACCATTACTTGACTAAAAATGTAGTGCGAGTAAAAGTATTTGTATTTACTGATGTAAATGTTACTCTAAGTATGTGTAAAAAGTAACCCTTTCAAAAGTACTCAACAGTAGTGAGTATTATGCTGTGAAAAGCTGATTCATGTAAATGTATTGTGTGGATGTAAAAAAATGTGTAAACGTAACATTCTGTAGTGCATCGAGTTATTTCTCACCAGCCAAACAACATCATAACTCGTTAATTTTAGGTTAGATTTAGGTTGTGATGTCAGGTGACCAAAACTCAATGTCTAGCCAGCTTCTAAGGACAACGTTATTTTGATGTCCAATAATGACGCCAAATGACGTTGATATTTGATTGACTTTAGGTTGTTAGAAAGTGACCAAAATCCAACGTTGACTCAACATCTTAAATCAACGTCATATTGACATTAAATACTGACATTTATTTATCAGGAATGGCAACCAAAATCCAACCTCTGATAGACGTCACAGTGGTAACACAGCTGTAACATCAATAGACGTTGATATTTGGTTGATTTTAGGTTGGAGGTTGAACATTGAAGTTGGCCTGACGTTAAGTTCTGACGTCAACCTGCTTTTCATTTCTAAAAAAAAAATGCAACGTCCCCACGATGTTAGGGTACAACGATAATCTAATGTCATGTTGACGTCTTGTGGGTGTTTAAGGCCATTTCGGTCATCATACAGTAAACATCCGTCATCTTCTCATCAGTGACATGCATCTAAACAGTCTCTGGGTCATTGTGTGTAACGATTTTAAACATCTTCTTGGACACTTTTAATGCTACCAAACAGTTTGCTGCGATTATAAACCACCCGTGTCGAGGTAGCTCATTATGATGCGATTTACCTTCTATGTGTGATTTGATTGGACAGGAATTACAGGACAGATTTTTCTTCTCCCATAGACACGAATAAATAAAGTAGTGGCTTCAGATTGCAGGAAAGTAGTGAGAGTAAAAGCACAGATACTGCACTAAAAATGTACTCAAGAGAAAGTAAAAGTGCACTTTTTTATAACTAATTAAATTACTATTCCTAAGAAAAACTACTGAATTAATAATTTGAGTATTTGTAATTAGTCGCATTACACCATTGGTTGCAGGGCATTCGCTATATGTAAAACGTATGCCGGAATAGTTGGCAGTTCATTCCGCTGTGGTGACCCCTGATAAATAAGGAACTAAGCTGAAGGAAAATTAATGAATGAAATTTAGTAATTTAATGTTAAATATATTTTTACTACAAGTTCATTCATTCAGTTTCTTTTTGACTTACTTCCTTTATTAATCTGGGGTCGCCACAGCGGAATGAACCGCCAACTTATCCAGCAAATGTTTTACGCAGCGGATGCCCTTCCAGCTGCAACCCATACCTGGGAAACATCCATACACATTCATTCACACACATACACACACTAAGGAGAGTTTAGCTTACCCAATTCACCTGTACCGCCTGTCTTTGGACTGTGGGGGAAACCAGAGCACCCGGAGGAAACCCACACGAATAGGGTGAGAACATGCAAACTCCACACAGAAACTCCAACTGACCCAGCTGAGGCTCGAACCAGCGACCTTCTTGCTGTGAGGGGACATCACTACCTACTGCGGCACTTGCCTTTAGTATAAGTATAAAAATAAATGCAAATAAAATTGTTGTCATATATTATTTGTTACAGCACATCATTTCTCTTTAGGTGAACTTACTTTATAAGAACTGAAGAAACATTGTTTGACCTATAAGAACAAATCAGAATTTGAAAAGACAAAAAATATAAAGCACTTTTAAGTTTAAAACCATGCCATTAATGCGATAAACCATGTTACTTGACATGGTTCCTTCCTATGTTTTAGGAACAGCAAAAAATAATTGGACTTCTGGTTGATCATTTGGAATGAGAAGTGGCTTATATGAAAGGTGAAGGCCTCTATATTACGCTTATTTTAATAAAATAATATATGATTATGCCTTGGTTTTAAATTCTTTAATTAGGTCAGTAAGGTCTGACTTTGCTTAGACAAAAGTCTTGTCACTGAACAGAAATAATGTCCAGTGTAGAATATAAAGTCATGCTGCAGTGGAGAAAGAATAAATATTGTGTATGACTCCAATGAACATGGAGGACTGCATCCATACATCTCTGCAATGACTCAAATCACTTATTAATAAAGTCATTTGACATGGCAAAGAAAGTGTTCTTGCAGGACTCTAAGTTAATCAAAATCCATCTTTATTCCGTCCTCCTCCTTACCTCAGACATGCTCAATATTGTTTATGTCTGGTGACTGGGCTGGCCAATCCTGGAGCACCTTGACCTTGAACTTTGATGTGAAGGCTGAAGTATGATGAGCGCTACCCTGCTGGAGAATTTGCCCTCTCCTGTGGTTTGTAATGTAATGGGCAGCACAAATGTCTTGATACCTCAGGCTGTTGATGTTGCCATCCACTCTGCAAAACTTTCACACGCCCCAATACTGAATGTAACCCCAAACCATGACTTTTCCTTCAATAAACTTAACTGATTTCTCAGGCAATCTTGGCTCCGTGCTGGTTCCAGTAGGTCTTCTACAGTATTTAAGATGCAGTTCAACAAATGATCCATCAGAAAAATGGACCTTCTGCCACTTTTCCAAATGATCAACTAGAAGTCAAGTTATTATTTATTGCTCTTACAGGTGGGATCAACAACAAGAGTGGTGTCAGGTAGTGTATATAACAAAGAAATAACACCTTGCACAAAACCTATTTACTTTACAAAAAACACTCAATATCATTCACAACACTGAAAACCGAAATAAGATTACTGAATAATTCAGATGTAAACACTAACATTACAGATCCCCCATTGTCTTGCATAATTCGCACACTGGTAACCACTTGACAGCCTTGTAGGAGAATGCTGAGAATCACACCAGTTACTCTTTGTTTTCTTAAGCAAACATGTCCATTCACGTCGTAAAAGAGCATTCAACTCAACGGATGCAAATAAAAGGCAGTGCAGGCATGTTTCAAGAGGTCATACACATTTTAAAGTTTATTCTAAAGTTCACCATGTTTTCTTGCACCAAACTTCCGGCTATAGTGTTCTGTTTATAAAACCATTGTAGATTAGTCTATGATTTATAGAACATTGAGTGAACATTGTCACCCAGTAGAATACAACTGATGACCATACCTGCCAACATTACCGTTTTTCCTGGTCTCTCATACTTCAGTCGCAACAATGCATAACGCAAGCTCTGTGATTAGTCGGCTTATTATCGTTGACGAGTGTGGGCGGGAACAAGAACCGCGCGAGCCTGATGGAGCGATTGTTTACAAGTGTGGAGTCCCTTGAAGGAGCACCGGATGGAAAGTTTTGTTTTGTGTTTAACTTATGGTCAAAGTTGTTGCACGTCCGCCGGTTCCTGCCCCAAAATGAGCGAGTTTGAGCCACTTGTACATTAAGGAAGCGTTCAGAAATACAAAACACCAGAGAAGAAACTTGATATAGAGGAACATAAACAACTTACTGCCACCTAGCGTTTCGGAAGTGGTATTGCAGAGCAACAGCAACAGCATGCAATAGTATGAATGCACGGCTACGTGCATTGCATGCGCCGTGGGTTACTCCGATCACTCGACGCAGAAGTATAAACCAGGCTTTAGTGACTTGACAAAGCATTTTTTTGGAGGGGAATACACTGTTGGTTGTGACCAGGGCCTAATTTGTAAATTGCGGGGTCACAGAACAAATCGGTGGAACGGATCCGGCATGTTACCCGGTGGAGGGACAGGTGTCTCGCACAAAAAGCTGAGAGAAGGGGGTTGTAGCAGGCGAAAGTGGAGAGGGCTGGGGAGTCGAGTTGATGAGGGGGATCGGTAAAATGAGGTGCCTGATTCATATTTCAGAGGTGCCGGATCCAGAGTGTTCCGGCACAAATTAAACCCTGGTTGTGACAATTCAATAATCAGTGGCTACAGCTAGGGATACGTCACCTCCATCCACGCCAACCCTTGTTCTTTTCGAACAATTGCCCAGCCCTACATCATTTCTATGATGGTCATAAAATGTTCATAACTGCTGAACACCCTGTTGTCCAATCCTTTAGAGGGAGACATCATTTTGACAGGACAAAAATTCTTCTTTTTGTATTTTTTATGCCCCTGCATAGGCTTCTGGCAAAGTGTGCAAATGGGCAAGTTGTGAACACGAGATTGCTTGGCTCCAACTTGAGTTAGCGTGTCTTTGTGTTTCCTTTTGTAAATAGTGGCTCGGGACCAGGATGGATGGGAATCAGGCTGGCTGGATGATTTAGTCACATGTGTCCTGTCAGAGGCTGGAGTCACTTGTGTAAAAGGGTGGGTAGAAAGGATTCTGGGATTCAGAGGTCTGAGGATGGTTGACAAGGCCACATTTGTCTGATGGGGCAAGTGAGATTCAGGGTGGAATGGAGCTAGCACTACAGCGTCTGATCTTTTCTTCAAGACCTTAGTCTCTTCTTTGATGGGAATGTGCTGGTTCTTCATCTTTGGGGATTCATGAGGAAGACCTGATGGCTGAGATGGTGCTGGAGGTGAATCTTCTAGAGAGATCGGTTCGGTTTTTAATATCATGGAGGATGGCATTCTTGTTGGGTGCACGTTGATCAGCGTCTCTTGATGGCGAATGACTTCACATATGGTCTTCAAGGTAATTTGAGGTAGAGGAATACCCACTTTACACAGAACCGGATCTTCCACCAATATGAAGTGCTTAATTCTGTCATAGGTTTCTAGGATGGATGTTTTCTCAAGTTCTCTTGTTCTGCTGTCACTGTGAGGTAAACCCAGCCACAGAAGTTTGACCAGCGTGTACATTAGTCTGTTGTGAATGTCCGGATAGTGTTTGGGATTGATGGCTGCTTCAGGATCGTCTCTCTTTCTTCTGCAATACAGTGTATTGCCCCAGCGGGTCCTGTACTGCTGGAGAAACTTATGCGGCTGCTTGTCATGGTCTTCCACAGCATCCCACGCATCAATTATCCCATTCCTCTGATACGGCGTCAGGCTCAGCTTGGTCTCAGAGAGGCCAATGTCAGCCAGCAGAGAACAGAATCTCTCCAGCTGCTGGAATCCTGGAAGAGGGTTGGAGCTGCAAGCATCCTCCTGTTAAAAAGTGCAATGATCATGTGGTGAGTTTAAAGGTGCTGTAGGAGATCTGGAAAAAGGTTAACTTTATAGGGCGCTTTTTAACCCTCCCTACATGCAAACTGCTGTCCAGAGCAACGCCTCCTCAAGTCAGGAACATGCACCATTGTAAGGCTATAATTCCTTTGGTCACACTTTATTTCGTTGGTCCATTTGTTGAATTTAAGTTACATTGCATCTACATGCCAATTAAGGGTGTCACGATCCTCCAAATGCTCGATTCTAAAGGCACGATTCGATTCGATTATGCATAACTAATTAATTAATGACCAATTAATTATTCATAGCCTACCGTTTAAACTACCTGACCTGGATGGTCTTTGTTTTACCCATAAACAAATCATACAGTAAATGAACAAAGGCAAGTTACACACATAATTATCACCTGTCAATAATTTTTTCTGCGGGACTCGTGAATAGGCAGTGATCTGTGTCGTTATAATGGCGTCGGTAAAAAAGACGCACAACCAACAGGAACCAGCCAACAGTATCTGAGGTGTTCGCTAAAATGACAAAGTACAAGTGAGTGAAAGATTGAAGCAGTCCTCTGACTGCCTGGACCTGCTGTCTCGAGCGCATGGCTGTGTGCGTCTGTGTCTGTGTGGTCACGTGATGTGTATTTTCAGAGGTAGAAAGGAAGGAGGGCTGCTCAGAAATGCTACACGCCACTGTGGATGTCAAATCGTTGTCGTTCTAAAATGCCATTTAAAAACAAAGACAGTGTAAACAGGGCCTGAGTGTGTACTTTTCGCGAGCGGATTTGCAACGGGGGTGGGCGGAGTATCACGATGCCGGGGTTGTCTATCGGACGAACCATACGTAATACGTACATAGCAGAGCTTGCAAAACTGTGTTTTTTTTTGTCGACAACACGAACGTTGTGAACATAACTCACTGGAAATCCAAAATGCTTACACATCGGCGACTTCATTGAAAGAGGAGAGGGTTTAAGTTCTGTCGACGGGTCTCCTGCTTCTGCAGTTTAACAAGCACTTCAACAAGCCTGTTTTCTTCCCGCTTGGAAAGCCAAGCTGATGTGACATGGGGGCGTGGCAGCATCGACGATTCTCTTTTTTGATTCGATGATCGAAATTGAGCATAAATCTCGATCGATTTCGATTAAAAATCGAAATCGTGACACCCCTAATGCCAATTAATACTCATTAGATTATAAGTAGAGTGTCAGGTTGGGGTTACTGTAAGCTGACATGTACATGCAAGGTTTATTATAGTGAGTTAAATGTCTGTTGAAGGAGCAGTATCAGCAGATATTAGGCAGACAGTCTACAAATACTCAAATGGACCATCAAAATAAAGAGTTACCATTCCTTTTTTAATGGAAGGTGTGTAGCAAACAAAACATGTCAAAATTTTCTCATTGGTGAATCCTTGCATCAAAGATTTCCATGGCTCGGCTTATCTCTACGTGGAGTAGGACTGTTAAAGAAAATTGACATATGTATCTAATTTAAATGCATTCGAATTTTTGGTGAGCCTGATGGTAAAAACATTGAACTGTGCGTTTAAGCAGGTGTTTTCTTGGGTTATTGATGCACTGATTGCTTATTTCCCTTACACTCACATTAAGGAAATTAAATTATATTTTATTTAACCACGTAAACTCTTGATGTTATTTTGGGATTTCCGCCTGGATTTTGCCTACCCAAATTTAAAAGCTTCCCAAATACCAAAAATTTGGTATCATTTTAAAGAAAACCCTTTGAATTTACATAAAACATTATTGAAAGTATAGAAAATATCTGTATATGTCGTCTGTGTTATAATAAACACCTAAAAAAAGGCACTTTTAGAATTTGTTTTTATCAACTCAAATTTGAAAGTGTACCTTTTAGGTTCTGTGTGGTCTAGCGTGCTGTAATTATTTTTGGTGGTTCCTGCACGTCTGTAATCATAAGAAAAAAGAAAAATGTCTCCACCATAATCTATGCAAAAGTTATTGTATTCCAACTGATGAGAGGTGCTGTACAAGCCACAGGGAGCGATCATTATTTACATATTTCACTATTCTTTTGTTTGATCAAACATAATTCACTGTGTTTGGACCACATCAGACATATAAAAGGATTACTTATGCACATCACCTCAAAAACAGAGGAGAATGGCCCTGAAGCACACAGCATAAGGTAAGAGATGACAGCTGTCTGTGCTATCTGGGGCTGCTTACTGATCATAAATGTATTGTTTTCACTTCTGCGCCATGGAAACACCACAATTCATTCGACAACTGTTTGATATGTGAATATAATTCAGTAAAAAGAACGCTAGAACTGTATGAGCACCGGCAAGAGCTTTCATTTGAGCTATAACTTGTACATGTGTCATATGAAAAATATAAAAATTAACCATTGTAAATTACCTACCTTGGGTCTCCAAAATACTGTGTATTTAAGTGTAAATAACTTTTGGACAGTAGAATAAAAAAGTGATGCATATGTGCATAAAATATAGATTCTACACTTTCAAACGAATCCACTTAAGGGGGTCTGGTGCAATGCTAGCTCTTTAAATCTGAAAGTGAAAGTCGATGACGTCAAAGACCCCGTACCGGGTCCACGGAGTTTAACTGGTTTTAAATCACAAAAAATTAAGAGTAACTAAGTACTAGTGATGCATTTGGATAAGCAAAAAATAAAGACTCACAAAAGCCGGAGGATGAGCAGTGGTAGTTTCATTGGTGGTTAGAGTTAAGTGTGCTGGAGCAACGGTGACCACATCCTGATCTGCCTCTGGGTCACTCTGGTATGCCTCGTCATCCTCCTCTGGGTCAGCCTGGCCTGGCTCAATCACCTCCTCCTCTGGACTGGGTGCGTACTTTGATAGGTCAGTGAGGGTGAAGCCTCCAGATTCACCCGTGCTTTGGCTGAATAGATAATCCAAACCGAGCCGCTCGTTTGACGTCACAGCAGCGGGGACATGGATATTCTCCTCCACATTTTCTCCAAACAACTGCTGGCATCGGGTGTTGAGACGTTCAATCAGAGGCCCAGAGTAGGATCTGTGCGTTTGGTGTTTGACACCAAACACTGTGTGAGGACTCTGTTCTGAGTTCCAGCGAGCGATTCTGCTGATGAGGTGCACATGAAATGGATGTGCGGCACAGTGGGGGCCTTCAAATGACAGAAAGAGCATTAAAATCATATCATGGTCAGACATAGAGATGCAACAGTACAGATTGTGGTTTTAGGTTATGATATTGGGGTGTGTGTGTGTGTGTGTTTGTGTGTGTGTGTGTGTGTGTGTGTGTGTATATATATATATATATATATATATATATATTTACACACACACACATACATACAATTGAAGTCAGAACTATTAGCCCCCCTTTGAATTTTTTCTTCTTCTTTTTTTTAAAATGTTTCCCAGTAAATATTTCTCAGTGTGTCTGATAATATTTTTTCTTCTGGAGAAAGTCTTGTTTGTTTTATTTTGACTTAAATAAAAGTAGTTTTTTATTTTTTTAAACACCATTTTAAGGTCAAAGTTATTAGCTCCTTTAAGCTATATTTTATTTTCGATAGTCTACAGAACAAACCATCGTTATACAATAACTTGCCTAATTACCCTAAGCTGCCTAGCTAACCTAATTAACCTAGTTCAGCCTTTAAATGTCTCTTTAAGCTGTATAGAAATGTCTTGAAAAACATCTAGTCAAATATTATTTACTGTCATCATGGCAAAGATAAAATAAATCAGTTATTAGAAATGAGTTATTAAATCCATTATGTTAAGAAATGCGTTGAAAAAACTTTTCTCCGTTAAACAGAAACTCGGGGAAAAATAAACAGGGGGCCCTTTAAACTATTTTATTTTTCGATAGTCTACACAACAAACCATCGTTATACAATAACTTTTCAATTAACAGGTAAAATAAAACTGACATGGGAAATTGTGCTGGTTATAGGTTACGAATTTTGGTTTCTTTCCGTTTAATCGTCCAGCCCTATATTGAGGTCACTTTATATTACACTTTTTGATTGTCTGTTAAAAATATTCAGATTGTTGTATAAGTGGTTTTTCATAACTGCACCAAATTGGTAAATACTTTAAAGGCTTTAAATTTAACAATACTTATTTTTCACGTTAATCAGGGTTACGACATTGAAAACTCTATGACCGTTTAGAGGCCTTAATTTATCAAACAATTTGTCTAAAGCAGATATAATGACAATTAAAAAAGCATTTCTTAATCTTAGGTGATGTTAATTAGTTAATGCCTAATAATAACACTTTAAAATTTAAAGTTGTAATTGTTTGATTAAATGAAGCTAATAACTATTAAAATTTTGTTGTATTTTTATTTATTCACTTATAACTCTAATAGTATGGCACAGTGGGTCAGTGGTTAGCCCTTTCACCTCACAGCAAGAAGGTTATTGTTTCAAGTACCGGCTGAGTCAGATGGCATTTCTGTGTGGAGTTTGCATGTTCTCCCTGCTTCGCGTGGGTTTTCTCAGGGCGCTCCGGTTTCCCCCACAGTCCAAAGACATGCGGTACAGGTGAATTGGGTAAGCTAAATTGGCCGTAGTGTGTAAGTGTGTGTGAATTCGAGTGTGTATGGGTTATTGTGTACATGTGCATGTTTAAAGCATTTTTTAGCTATTAAATATTTTAAAAGTAATCTTTTTGCAGCTTAAGTATTATATCTTAATATAATATACTGTGATAGGCAGCACGGTGGCGCAGTGTGTAGCACAATCGCCTCACAGCAAGAAGATCGCTGGTTCGAGCCCCGGCTGGGTCAATTGGCATTTCTGTGTGGAGTTTGCATGTTCAACCCGTGTTCGCATGGGTTTCCTCCGAGTGCTCCGGTTTCTCCCATAAGTCCAAAAACATGTGGCATTGAGTAGGCTAAATTGTTAGTAGTGTATGTGTGTGAATAAGAGTGTATAGGTGTTTCCCAGTGATGGAAGCCTAGTCCAGTGGTTATACAGTAAAAGGCTCTAATAACTAGCAAGTTTACAAACTTACTTGAAGAGTCCTTTACAGTAACAAGTAGTGGTCTTGGACTCTCTTTGGGTGACCAGACAACAACATTGAGAGCGCGTGTAGAGCGAGACCCTGGTGTGAAAATGACAAGAGTATACCATCAATTCATACAAGTACAAATCTAGAAATTTCCGCTCATTAATCTCCAACTAAATGCAATAAACTGTTTAAAAAACTAAACGCATTCAAGAGATGCTCTGGCTGGATAACCCTGGGTCTGGTGGGAGCACTTTTTCTTAGCTAAGCATTGATCATTGAATCGGATAAGACCATTAGCATCTCGCTTAATAAAAAGAGGAGTTTTGATTATTACGCCAGCATGAGTATAAGTCTTGGCCCAGGGGTGTCCAAACTCGGTCCTGGAGGGCCAGTGTCCAGCATATTTTAGCTCCAACTCAAATTAAACGCCTGAACCCGCTAATCAAGCTCTTTCTATGTATACTAGATCTCCAGGCAGGTGTGTTGGAGGAAGTTGGAGCTAAACTATGCAGGACAGGTCATATCGGTCTAAAAAAAATACCAACTTTGCATTTTACATCGGCGTTAGTACATGATGCAACCACAGAAGAATCAAGAATAGGAAAAGGATCACAAATCTTTCGAATTTGAGTGGGATGCTAATGGTCTAATCCGATTCAGTGATTTATGCTAAGCTAAGCTTAAAGTGCTCCCGCCAAACCCAAAAACCGGCTGAATGGTTTTAAAACTGGTAAAATTCACCCGTTGACCTCGAGGAGATTTGTAAAATGATTGTACCTTTAAACATCTGACCCATTAGGAGCCAAGCAAAATATAATGGTGTGGACTGAATGAACTGATGAACATGTACCTGGGATCATGTGAGGCAGAGATTTATAGAACCCCTCCAGACTGTTGTTTCCACGGAGACACTTATAGTATGGAACGTCCACCCCATTGATGTTGGCGGTACCAGCCACTCTGTACATGCTCATCTCTGGCGGATCCTGTATGCACTCAAGGTGTCGTTGCTGCGCTTCCCACACGCCATCTATTGCTTCTGTAAGGGGACCAAAATATTTACACATCAGATGGACAGTTTGCATGTGTCAAAATAGCAGACGATAAATATATATTTACATAATGTTATACACTATACGCTAACAGCATTGCACAACCCCAAATTAGAAAAAGTTGGGACAGTATGGAAAACGCAAATAAAAATGAAAGGAGTGATTTATGAATTTACTTTGACTTGTATTCGTAAGCAAATTTTATTTAATGTGTTCCACATGATTTTTCTTGTTTTATTTTTCAAAATAAACGTGTATTTTATTATTGGTACTTGCAATACATTTTAAAAGAAGTTGGAACAGTCAGGCATTTACCCCACTTTGCCATATTGCTATATATTTTCACAACACTTATTGTTTAGGGACTGCAAACAAGTCTTAAAATGGCCAACAGTACGGGCTCTTCATTGTCGGATTTTGTGCTTCAAAATGACCCACACGTTCTCTATTGGAGACAGGTCAGGACTGCAGGCAGGCCAGTCAATTACCTGTATCTTCTTCCTCCCATGCCAGCACCGTCTTGTTGAAGTATGCATGGGCGTGCCTGCGAAAGAAGGCAGCATATTGTGCTCCAAAATCTGTTCTTTTCAGCATTAATGGTGCCATCACAGATATGCAAGTTTCCTTTGCCAAGGGCATTGACACAACCCCATACCATGACAGACCCTGGCTTTTGGACTTGTTGCTGGTAACAGTCTGAATGATCTTTTCTTCTTTGGTACCGAGCACACTGTGTTCATTTCTCCAAAAAAAAAAAAATACCTAAGAGAGTGATTTATCTGACCAGAGAACACATTCACTGTGTGATGGTCCTTCCTAGATGTCTCCGACCCCAAATAAGTTGACCACGCTTCTGGACACTGTTAACATAGGGCTTCCTTTTGCCACAGAACAGTTTAAACTGGCATTTGTAGATGTAACTACATACTGTGGAGCTTGTCAAAGGTTTGCCAAAATAATCATCCATGTGGTGATATCGGTTATAGATAAATGACGATTCTTGATGCAGTGCCACCTGAGGGATCAGAGATCACGGTTGTTCAGCTTAGGCTTGCACCCTTGTCCTTTACGCACTGAATTTTCTCCAGTTTCCATGAATCTTTTAATGATTGCACTGTTGAAGGTGAAATATCTAATGTCTTTCAATCTTTCTTCGAGGAACATTGTTTTTAAACATCGCAATAATTTTCTTATGTATTTGATGGCAAACTGGGGTTCCTCATCCTCATCTTTGCTCCAAAAAGACTAGACCTTTTATCTGTTGACATCACTGGTTTCAAATTACATAATTATTTAACCAACTGACCAGATGATTACTAACCCTAAATTGCTGCTGTCACAACTTCTTTTGGAATGTGTAGCAGGACTGATCGACAGGAAAGGTGTAATTACACATGAATTGAAGTTGACCGGACAAAACATGAAATATTTAATGTTCATATTGTCTGTAATAAAATACGTCAAATTAAATTTAGAAATCCCTACTTCGTTTTTTAATTAGGATTTTCCATACTGTCCCAACTTTTTCTGATTTGGGGTTGTATTTAGAATAGCAATATATAGGTAGACCGAGTAAGGCCCAATCCCAATTCTATTTTTGTACCCCTACACTCTCCCCTTGGCCCTTACAACCGAGGGTGAAGGGGAAGGGCTTCAAAATTTACCCCTAAGAATTGGGACAGCACTACACAACCTGCACACGTCATCATATGTCCTCGCAATCTCTTGCTTCATGTGAGATCAGATGATCGCGACTGCTGTAGTTATTCCAGTTTTGTTATTTTATTGCTATTTATCTTCAAGTACATAGATATATACACTAGATATCCCATAGGGACCCTAAGCATGCGTCAATAGCGCCGCCACATTGGTACAGTGCTCCCAAGACAAATGTCATTCAACCGCACTAGTCAAGACAGTGTTATTAAGTGAAGATGCGGGACTTTAGCGCTGTCTACGGGTGTGGTAACGAGCAAACAAAGAAAACAAAGCAAAAAGGCAGAAAATTTCATAGGTAAGATTTAGTTTTTTACGTTTTTGTATGTTCTGAACTTTTGTGCTAAACAGGTCACGTTATTGATGATAATATAGTCACTTACTGCATTCACCATAAGGCAAAGTAACTCCAACTCGCACTAAACACTCAGCTTATGCTAGTTTTGTTGAATAAAATCAGCAAACAATGCAAAGAGAAATATGATAACGAGATGCTGCGCTGCCAGAAAATTGTATAATTGTCGGCTAGTGAACAAGTCATTCATAACGGAGATTCATTCACAAACGAATGGCTCCCTCCGTCAGTATGAGAAGTGAAAGCAGGAGAGGAGGTGTGTTTCAGGACATGGATTAGATCAAATTTAACAGGGAGGGTGAATAGTACATTTCTGTACACACAAACACAAGCTTTTTGTCAGGAATGCCAATGCGATGATCCCTCAATGTAGAAAAGTGATGTAAAATTTTAATTTTCGTATATAGAAAAAAAAATATTGCATAATAACATCCAGGAAAACTACCGATCATAGATATATGTATATTTCTGGCTTTGGATGTCCACAGTCCTCCACTGTACCTTGGTCCCGCATTCATTTCAAAGGAGCGCTACTCTGTTTCAAAATGGCGGCTCTATTGACGCATTCCTTCCAATAGACAACAACAGGGTAGGCGACATCTAATATATATATCTATGTTTCAAGTATACTTAATAGGACCTTGATTAGCTTGTTCAGGTGTGTTTGAATAAGGTTGGAGCTAAAATCTGCAGGACAACGGGCCTCCAGGAACAAGTTCGGTGATCCCAGGCCTAGACCATTGTCATACAATCACTTGCCTAATTACCCTAACCTGCCTAGTTAACCAAGTAAAGTCTTTAAATGTCACTTTAAGCTGAATATTAGAATATTAAAAAATACAGCAAAATATTATGTGCTGTCATCATGGCAAAGATAAAAGAAATCAGTCATTAGAAATGAGTTATTGAAACTGTTATTTTTAGAAATGTGTTGAAAAAATCTTTCCGTAAAACAGAAATTGAGGAAATAAAAGAACAAAAATATACAAATAATTCTGATTTTAACTGTATATGCTTGGAGTAGATTAATTACCTGTTGATTTAAAGAGACTGACTCCACTCTGGTCCATCCCAGCAGGACCCTTGAGCTCATCTATGGCCCTCTGAATGAGCTGAAAGGTCTCCTGAGCCCCAAGAGTGACTCTCCGAACATGGTGCTTCAGCTGCTCTCTCGAAACATACAGCCGCACCATGTCTTCATCAGCTACGCTGTCAAAAGCCTTCAGGTCCTGAGCTCTGACAGCCTTGATGAGCAGCTGTAAGTCTGCACGGTTGTAAGCCAGCACCGCTCCTGCAAGGGCAGACTTGAACACTGTGTACTTTGAGTGGCTGTCTGTGCGAATGGCTGCATCAAAGCAATGAATCCAATAGAAAAGGTCCAAACGGATGACCATACCACCGTCCACCCATGTCTGGAACAAATTCTCCACAGCAGTTGGGCCTTGCGCACAACAGCACCCACGGTCAACATACAGGATCTTCGGGACAGGTTGACTGGCCTGCTGGAACCGGTCCATAATTCCCTGACACATGGGCTTCAGACACTCAGTGGACTCGTCACACGTTACAACAAATGAGACTATTTGTGAGTGCTCATTGCCAATGCTGGTGAACCACTCCCCGGAGCCTTCAGCTTCCCCAGACACCTGCAAAATGTGAGAGACTCTGTAAGTCTGTATATAGTTATCTGTAAATTATACCTCTTTATACTCAGGGCCGGAGCAAGCTGAACTAGCCTTCTAAGTAAATAGCAATCACACCGCCCTCAACCTGAAAGACAAAAAGCGAGGACCAGGAGGGAAGGGGTGGGTGTCCCAGATGAAAGTGAGGACCGGGGGTTCGGGGACGCCATCCTCACTATTCTGCCACCTAGGTTGCCTCTATGCACGGGCCGGCCATGTCTATACTGCCATCTAGAAACATTCATATTCAAAATTGTGTACAAACATTGGACAGATCAAAAAAAAAAAAAAAAAGGGTGATTTTCACAAAAAAGATTTCTGGATGAGTTAGGGACTGGTAGCCGAACTGTACGTTCACATTGAAAACGGCGAGAGCGTGAAAGTAGCCATAAGTCTTTAATTTTCAATGGAAGGTGGAGGCGATAAGCGGCGAGGAGCTGCACGACGCGTTTTCCCAGGTGTGAGAGTCGAGGAAAGTTGAAATCAAGTCCACCTTATGGTAATGAGCTATGACGCGGTTCGGCGGCAACCAATCAGAATGTAGAAGTCCACCGCTTGAGAGGAGTCCAGAGAACACAGTCCTGTGAACTTTGGTTCCGACCACAGTTGTTCCCAAGGGTTTGATTAATGCGGTCGCTGGATTTCCACTAATTAAAGTTGTTTTCTTACAGGAACATACATTAAAAAAAGTTACTGGCGAGTTACTGATGTGCATTGATGTTATAGAAAGCGGGAATCTCATGCAACAATGCAAAACAGTATTGCTGCTTCAGGATATTTCAGACATATTGACACATTGGATAATTAAGTGGTGCAAAACCACACAACATGCAACTTGATCTTCCATTGTTAAATGAATTTGATAGAAAAAGCGTGCAACATTTTCACGGTAGAAAGCATGTTTGATGCAGAAATGTGACTGATATATGCTGCAATGGCCACTTTAAATACAAAATCAATGTAGCGGATTTTGACGCTCTCGCCGCCGGAGCTGAAGGCAAACATCGTTGTCGCCAGGGCGGCCAGAGCGACCTTTGATGCTCTCACCGGCTTCGTTGTGAACGCACAGTAAGGGTCAGGACACACCAAGCTGACGGTCGGCTGTTGAGCTTTGTCGATTCATTGGTCAGGCAAGTTTCACACGTCTGCTGTCATCGTTTTACTGTCAGATAGGGCTGAATTAATCACAATATAATCAAAGTTGACATTCAGGACCAAATTTTCCCAGGTCAATTTTTTCTCTTACATTTCCTACCACGTGTGGAATCACGTGACCCACTCTGTTAAGGCTGATTTATACTTCTGCATCAAGCACAAGCATATGGTCCGGCGCAGCCTTCTCATTGTCTCACACCCGCACACCTCTCAATGTCGCGATGACGCATAGTGCAAGCTATTTGGTCAGTTTGCCAATCAGAGCAGAGATTCGCAATAAGTCCTAGCAGCAGTCTGTAACCACGATGATGTTTGTGACCAGGTCCACTACATGGTAACCATTGTACCACCCACTAGGGTAACACCCATGCTACTGTGACGACTGGGTTTATGTTAGAGGGAGGTGTAGGCGATTTTCCATTATGCAGGGGACCTGGTAGAGTATGTCATCAAGCTGTGGGTTACAGCAAGGACTATCTCGAGAGCTGCGAGCCCCAAGTGCAAGTGTGGAGCTCCAGGTGAAAACCTTTGTTTTGTGTTTACCTTATGATTAAAGGTTTTGCACGTCCACTGGTTCCAGTCTTTAAAAGAGCTAGTTTTAGCTTCTTGAACATTAAGGTTGCATTCAGAAAAAACCTCCATGAAAAAACTTGACACAGAGGAACATAAAAACCTCCTGCCAGCTAGTTTCGGAATATGAGATTCGGCATGTGCCGTGGCTCACAGCGATCACTCGACACTGAAGTATAAACAAGGCTTTAAAGGCTGAGGCTGATTTATACTTATGCAGCCAGTTTGCAGTCACATCTGATCTCTAGACAAGCAGGACGATGGACCACTCTTGAGCCTTACTTTGCACTACACTGACGATGATTGGAAGCTGCGTCAGAGATGCCTTGAGACGGCTGAAGAGAGAGCTTTGACTGGTTTTTCAGCAATGAATCAGAGTGCGAGTGTGACATAGTGAACTGACGTAGCAAGTAAACGATTCAAGCCAATCACAAAGAGGCCAGAAATCATTTTGTTTAGTTTTCGTTTCTCAAATATTCGCAAACAATATGAATTATTAAATTGTAAAACCTATTTAAACAAGCGAATAATTGTGGTAAGTGACAATAACTGTGATAATGGTAATAAACACTGCTTTGTTTATGCTTTGTTTGCATCAGAAGTTCAGTTCCCTTGTGGAACAAGAAAACAGATTACTGCCCCACGCGGAGCTAACAGACATCCTCTTATGCAGGCGAAGAACATGGCTCTTGTTTCAGTGAGCTTTCGTCTGTTCGGCGTGCAAAACGAGGCAGCAACACAGTTGGGTTTCACTGGTGCCAGTTGTTGTCGTTGACTTGCTGTCAAATGGCCGACTGTCTGCTTGGTGTGTCCCAGCCTTAAAATGTTTTCGATATCACTAAGCAATCAAATAGGTTGAGTAACTTGATTCTCAACTATGTTGTTTGCTACCTTGTGCATTGCTGCATTTACCTTTTTTGAGTCCATTTTCACCACTGTGCCAAAAGTGGACAGAATCTGGTTCGTGTAGTCCTGCATATTGCCGGCCTCTGCGAGCAGGAATGCATGGCGAAGTAGGCGAGCAGAAGGCAGCTCTTTTTGAGGAGGTGGAGCCTCAAACTTGTGTTTAAAGGCTGACACAATCCCACCAGGCTTTTTCAGAGTCATCAGGAGGGTGGTGTACAGATCCTTCCTTTGGAGATACTCCTTCGTATGGTTTTCTTGAACCTGTCGGCACACCTTCATCATGGTGTGCATCTCGGTACAGTCCCGCAGAAGCCGTATCACGCTCTTGTCCACACCACGCCTAAAAAGTGTGATAATCAATCAGTGCATGAACAGAGTACGGTAGGGCTACAAGGGTAAAGCTAGCAAAATTACTAGGCTCGATGCTGTTTTCCCGTCAGGCTACCAAAATCCATCATCAAAATTTATTTCAATGCTTTTGTATTCTTTCACAAAATGGATAATTATGTTTCATGCAATGTTTTGGCATTTGGGAGCCACTATCAATATGTGCTTACATTTGCCCTATCTGGTGTCAAAAGTACCAAGTTGATAAAAATAAATGCATTCATTTATTTTCCTTTGACTTAGCCTCTATTTCAGAGATTGCCACAGTGGAATGAACCACCAACTATTCCAGTATATGTTTTACACAGCGGATGCCCTTCCAGCCACAACCCAGTACTGGGAAACACCCATTCACACACTACAGCCAATTTAGTTTATTCAATTCACCTATCCTGCAAGATTTGGACTCCGGAGCACCCTGAAGAAACCCATGAGAACACGGGGAGAACATGCAAACTCCACACAGAAATGCCAACTGATCCAGCCAGTACTCAAACCAGTGATCTTCTTACATTGCTAGCCACTGAGCCACTTGATAAATAAAACAATAAAAAGCTACCAGAAGTTCTTGATAAGGCTACTACAAAAGACAAAAGACTCGGTTCTACATTTGATGAGGCAAATTTGTTATATTGAGCTCTCTACCTTTCTGGACTGAGACATTGTAATCAAGGAATAACTAAAAATTTCCATGAAAGAACATTGTTTTTTTTTATATATAACCATCCTCAAACATCCTGGAACATTCTTTTATGGTTTCAATAATTAACCTACAGGCACAATAGCCCAGTGGTCAGCATGCTGACATTTGGAATGGTAGCACTTCAGGGCGTCCTGAGTTCGAATCAAAGACATTTCCTGATGTACAAGTATTGTTCATAGTTTATGTTAGTAAATACATCACCTAATGAATCCTAAGGTTGGTTAAGCAGTGTTTAAATTTAATTCTTTTAAATCTGTTGTAGAGACTAGGGCTGCACGATTCATCGAAAAAAGATCACGATCTCGATTCGACCCTACACACAATCTTATTTTCAGCTTCCTATGATTCAGCCAATTATATTTTCGAGGTCAGGAGAAAAGCAAGGCAGTCGCACAAGTCTTCACAGCAACATTGACACCTTCAAATGGTGTTAAAAGTGTCACATACTGTATTTATGAGGTATAATTCACCCAAAAATGTAATTTCTGTCTTCATGTAATGATGTATTTGCGTCTGCAAAATCACACGTGGGCTGACCGCCAGCTGTTTGTTTACTATCGTGCACGCCCAATGATGCCTACTATGGTGAACAGAACCTGCATAGGCTGTGAATAACAGGTAATGAAGTTGTAAATAACGTTCAGCTTGTTGCACAGAGCCATCATTTGAGGGCCGTGTGGGAGGTTGGATTTGCATGATGACAGCAGTCATGAGCCACACTCGGAAGTGAAAGTGAAACCTGTGCGAACATCATTAAAATGATCGTATCGACGAACATTTGATGTTTTTTTTCCCATTGCAAACACAAAGTGTTGTGCATGAAAATAAACGTTTACTGTGTCAGTATAACAAATTAAAAAAAATTAAAAAATTACCTAAAAGTAATGTTTACCTAACATTATTTTATTTTATTTTATTATTATTTTTGTTTTTTTATAAAAACTTGGTTATTTTAAAATTAACAAATGCCATTATAACATTTTATTTGGTAAATGTATGCTTTTCTTTGCATGTATGTCTTTAGTAAATAATGTTTGTTTTCTATTCTATACATTTATTTTGGACTAAAAAAACCTGAAGTGCCTGTCTGAAGGGCAACCAGAGATTTAGAAATGTTGCGAGCCCTGTACAGTAAAGAGGTAAACAGACAACACTTGTCTGGTTTACTCACCCATTAGTTAGAATTGCAGGGAACATGGCTTGGTGAGCCTCACTGAGCTGACAAAGTATTGCAGGATCCCATGCCAACCAACGACCCACCTCGCCACCATCACTCTTCCTCCCTTCCTCGGTGCACGGCCCACAGCGCAGTACCTCCGTCAGCATTGAATACCAATTGGCGACATCGCAGATCTGACAAACCTGTAACATGACAAACCAGCAGCACTTTGTATTGTTTGACCTTTAAATGCGTTTACTACAGGGGTCCAGAGAGCTTAACGCTCTGTAATTTAAGAAAGCACATGCAATCACCAAAAACACCAGGAAATTAATCAAATTTCTTCATCAGTTTGACAGCATGTTGCAAATCCTTACTTCAAGAGTTCACACTCAGCTGATGATTGATTATAATACTTGTTTGGCATGCTGTCCCGGGAGAGAGCCCTGAGCTCATAAGATCCTCGAGCCCGGGGCTCCCTCCCGTTTCCAAGGCGAGAGGGGAGTTTGAGCTCAGGTAGATCTGGAGAACTCCCCTGCTGTAGTAGCTAATGAACAGATAATGGTGGCTCTTAAGAGCTGACTACTTTTTAGGAGCATGTCTATGGTGCCGATTTGGATTAGTCAATTAACTTAAGTCGCATGTTTTTGGACAGTGGGAGGAAACCGAGAAACCCACATGACCACAGGGAGAACGTATAAACTCCGCACAGAAACGTTGGCTGGCCTGGTAAGGACTAGAACCATTGACGTTCTTGCTGTGAAGCAACAGTGCTAACCACTGGGCCACGATGCCACCCATCTAGGAAAGGAGGAGAAGTAGGGGTGGAAGGGGGGATTCTTCAAAACGAAGATGGCTGTTATATGGAACTTAGGGTATTTATAGTGGTTTAGGAATCGTCTGATTGGTGAATCATAAATTGGATAATGCGGGACTGACTGCAAGCAATCATAAGCACGTGATCCTCTCAAAATTAGTTTATAAATAAACTTCACAAAGTAAACAAACTAATAATAAGCGCTGCATTCTCTCACAACATGTGCAAATAGCCAAAACAATGGAAATGTTTCAAGGTGGACACAAATATTTTTGTTTACTTTAACATCCTAATTACATAATGAGCTATATGCACACAGACTTTTAATTTTCAGCCGGGTGGCTTCTGGTGAACTGTCTTTCTATAACAAAATTGTCACGTTTAAGATCTGTTTTCTTTGAAAATCAGCAATCTTCACTCCCTGTTAGCTATACAATATGAAGTGGGTATATGGACAAAAAGCACTACATTAAATTCCATTTCCCCCCCCGCCATGTCTTTAAAATATGACAGCTTATTTAACCGCAATATTTTCAATGGAATTTCTGCGATAGCCTGATTCTACTGACGGCACTAGTGTTCACAACTGTCTTTCATCTCGTTTTATGCTTAAACAACTAAATGAATGAGTAAGTCTATTTAGCTGAATGTATTGTAAATACATTACAAAAATCAATGCTGTAAAAACAACCTTGCGACACTGAAATGAGTCTAAGAAAATTAAGCTTTTACTGGAAGTTTATCGTCAGCTTTAAAACTCTAGCTGTGAACAGAGTCCTTTCATTTGATAAAGTTAACTGTTGGCTTTACAGTTTAATAATCATACACAATGTAATCAGACAAACCCTATTGTGGTATCCTGACGGATAGAGGTGCAGGTTTTTTCCACTACCAGCACATTCTTCACCACGAGGACACCTCAGTGAGTATCTCCACACTCCAACGGGCCGCCAGACAAAGACGCGACCCCGAAAGAAGAGGTGTGGTGATGGCACAGTCTCGCTGACGTAGCCTGGAGATTCTGGGGGGTAAAACCACATCCTGTTGGACTTCATCACCCGTCGCCTCTTCAGCACACCAGTACTGTCCTGATAGACCTGAACGTGGGTGAAGAGCCCTCTCTCTGTGTCATTCTTCACCCATGAGAGGTCAGCCGGTGAAATACCGTCAGGTTTTTCCCACATCCGCACCCAACCCTCAAGCTCAACCTGCAATATAAAGATGGAGTCAGAATTATAAACACCCCTTTATAATTTTTCCCCCAATTTCTGTTTAACAGAAAGAAGTTAATTTCCAACACATTTCTAAAGATAATAGCGTTAAAAACTAATTTCTAATAACTGGTTTATTTTATCTGTGCTATGATGACAGTGAAAAATTTTACTAGATCATTTTCTAGATACTAGTATTCAGCTTAAAGTGGCATTTAAAGGCTTAACTAGGTTAATTAGGCAAGTTAGAGTAATTAAGCAAGTCATTGTATAACAATGACTAGTTCTGTGGACCTACGATATTGCTTAATGGGGCTAATAATAGCTGTCTTCAATTCAGAGTCCTTTGAAGTCATCCACAGGCTGAACCAAGTGTGAGACGATGAGACGATCTTGCCTACAGAGGACTGATCTAGTCACTAGGCAATCATAACAGCTGCTGTTAATAAGATCTAATAAAATTTGTAATTTTTTTCTAAGTGATTGTAAAACTTATTGTAAGCAATCTACAGGCAAAACAAGGTTTATAAAAGCTGGAAATATATTTCCTTTGATCCATACATGTACACATAAACTGTCTATAAAATCACCCTTTCATAAGACATGTCATACTCTTTCTGCTTTTTATAACAAGTGTTTAGATATCCAGGCTAAATAAACTTAATTCATTCTTAATGCATTTAAACTCAAAATTGACTAAAAGTTAATTCTACTCATTGGAAAAGAGTTTTGAACTCAGTGTTGAAGGTAATGAGTTAACTAAACACCTCATTAGTTAAACTTAAATGGAATAAGTTCACAATACTCATATAGATTTTTTTTTTTAACTCAAATTGTTTATTGCAATCGGTTTCCTCAAATGGTTTGAGTTGACTTTACTTAATGTGTTTACAGTACTCTTTTGGTTTGAGTTCTCTTCATTTACTGGGTTTTACTGTGCTCAAATTGCTTCATTTACTCAAATAGATTAAGTTAACAGTACTGATTAGGATAAAATTTTGAACTTAAATGGTTTGTTGCAATCGGTTTCCTTAAATGGTTTGAGTTACCTTAACTTTTTTGGTTTTACAGTGTATGAATGTCAATGGTTACAGATTGCCTTTGTTTGCGTTCAACAGAAGAAACTAATAAAAGTGAAACCACATGCGGGCGAGTAAATTGTCAGTGATTTTTTTGGGTGAACTATCCCTTTAAAGCACATTTAATATACGAATACACTTGACTAAACATGTTCACAATGACATCACCTATATACTATACACTCACCGGCTACTTTATTTATTTAGTACATCCAACTGCTCGTTGAGGCTAATTTCTGATCAGCCAATCACATGACAGCAACTCAATGCATTTAGGCATGTAGACATGGTCAAGACGATCTGCTGCAGTTCAAACCGAGCATCAGAATGGAGAAGAAATGGGGTGCCAGACAGGCAGGTCTGTGTATTTCAGAAACTGCTGATCTACTGGGATTTTCACGCACAAGCATCTCTAGGGTTTACAGAGAATGGTCCAAAAAAGAGAAAATATCCAGTGAGCGACAGTTCTGTAGGCGCACAAGCCTTGTTGCTGCCAGAGGTTAAAAGGAGAATGGCCAGACTGGTTGGAGCTGATAGAAAGACAACAGTAACTCAAATAACCACTTGTTACAATTCACACAGGCTCACCAAAACTGGATAATAGAAGATTGGAAAAATGTTGCCTGGTCTGATGAGTCTCGATTTCTGCTGCGATATTCGGATGGTGGGGTCAAAATTTTGCTCAACAACAAAAAAGCCTAGATCCATCCTGCCTTGTATCAATGGTTCAGGCTGGTGGTGGTGGTGTAATGGTTGGGGAGATGTTTTCTTGGCACACTTTGGGCCCATTAGTACCAATTGAGCATCGTGTCAACACCACAGCTGACCATGCTCATCCCTTTATGGCCACAGTGTATCCATCTTCTGATGGCTGCATACAGCTAAATAATGCCAGGGCTCAACAATAAGGACTGACCGGTGGTCCAGGGCTAGCGTGAGCGACACTTGGGACAGTAGTCTGCATCATTACTGGCCCGATTGGGACAGTGCTGCCTTGTCACTAACATTTAACTTGTCTGTGACTATTTGTCAATTGCGTGCATTTTAAGTTTGTGCTTTTAAGTTTTTACACGCTACCTTCTCTGTAATGTAGTGAACAACATATTGCTTTCCGGTTCCTCTTATCTGTTTGATTTGACCATGCTATTTTTTTTTGTAACCTGGTAACAACCAGTAAAGCGTAGAAACAGCAACATGGCGGCAACATCAAATTACAAGGCTAAAAGAAAATGTCTGTTTCTAACGTCTTGGCAGTAGACATTTACATGGGAACAACACAACAAAATAAAAATTAAGTGAGCAAGTTTGCCGTCAGTTTGACAAGTCAGCCACTTTTGTAAAATAATTTTAAACCGCAATAAAATAGATCCACATTTTCCATCTGCTCTTTTTGTTAGCATAACACTTTTATTTACAGTTTTTTTTAAGTATTAAAATTCTAGATTCACAGACTTTATTTTTGACACATTATTTAAAATATGTGGCTAAAAAATAGCTATTAACTTCCCTTTTTTGGGGCCAGTGAAAATTTTGGCAGGGCAAGTAAAATCTAAACCACTTGCCCGATCGGACCAGTAGAAAAAATCCTTAGCGTTGAACCCTGAATGCTCCATGTCATAAAGCGTGAATCATCTCAGACTGGTTTCTTGAACACAACAGTGAGTTCACTGTACTCAAATGGCCTCAACAACCACCAGAGCTCAATCCAATATTGCACCTTTGGGATGTAGTGGAATGGGAGATTTGCATCATGGATGTGCAGCCGACAAATCTGCAGCAACTGCGTGATGCTATCATGTAACTATGGACCAAAGCCTCTGAGTAATATTTCCAGTACCTTGTTGAATCTATGCCATGAAGTATTAAAGCAGTTCTGAAGGCAAAATAGGGTCCAACCCAGTACTAGTAAGGTGTACCTAATAAAGTGGCCGTTGAGTGTATAACTGCAGGTTAATTATACATACATGTGATAACTTTAACTGTTAAAAGCTATTATTTACTAGTTAAAGTAATGAGTAACTAATAAAGTTATGGCGACTAATAAACTTACCATTTCTGAATTTGATTTTAAATGTGCACGTTTCGTAAAGATGCTTTGAAACAATAATTACTGAAAACTGCGCTACACAAATAAACTTAAACTGAACTGAATTAAAATGAATATTATTACTCACAGAAGAGTCACTCATGGTCTCCTTTTGTCGTCTGTAATGTGACCTGCTGATGATCTGGTGGAGCACTTGAAATGATCCGAATTACCGGCAACACCACTTAAGAGGTCTCTATAACTAAAATGACACACATCTATTCATCGACCCATCTAAAAAAATATATATATTTCACTGTTTACCAGACAATTAGCGAATCATTTATTTAGGTTCAGTGGTAATTTAAAGAGACGACTATGACATGATTGATTTTCATAACCCTTATATGATCACATCCATTCATTCATTTTCTTGTCGGCTTAGTCCCTTTATTAATCCAGGGTCGCTACAGCGGAATGAACCGCCAACTTATCCAGCAAGTTTTTACACAGCGGATGCCCTTCCAGCCACAACCCATCTCTGGGAAACATCCACACACACACACACACTCATACACTACCAACAATTTAGCCTAATTCACCTGTACTGCATGTCTTTGGACTGTGGTGAAAACCGGAGCACCCGGAGGAAACCCACGCGAACACAGGGAGAACATGGAAACTCCACACAGAAACACCAACTGAGCAGAGGTTCGAACCAGTGAGCATCTTGCTGCGAGGCGACAGCACTACCTACTGCGCCACTCCGTCGCTATATGATAACACGCAGTCATAAATGTTTTTAGAGACTTAAATGTCCCACCCCCCAAACACCCTGTCATCCATCGCGATGTTTCACATTAGACATCGCCCAACCCTAGCCTATATGGTTTAAGCTTTCACATTATTAATTACTTTAACACTGTACTATTTACACCACAGTTACTACAGTTTAATAGTGCACTATAATACTATGCTGTAGCATTCACAAATAAAGAGTTGTAAATACTACACAGTATACACTTTACTAGCCTATATGGTTCAGGTTTTTACCTGATAGCTGTGGTAATACTACAACAATAAACAAACTACTTTAACACTGTACTGTGTACACCACCACAGTTACTACAGTTTAATAGTGCATTATTCATTCACTGACAAAGAGTTGTAAATACTACACAGTATACACTTTACTAGCCTATGTGGTTCAAGTTTTTACTTTAAATGACTGTAGTGTTTTTATCATGCCGTTTTTATTGTCTTCCAGACCTTCTACACAGATAAAACCACAAAACCCATACCTTACTAGTTTTGTTAGATTATTTTGTTGGTGGTTAACACTAGTGCTCTAAAATAGCAATCGTTTGGATAACCAGCAACACATTTGCTGTTTACTTTACTCTATTTTACTTGTAAGACATAGGCAAATATAGTAAAATACATTAAACAAACTGTGGTAATACTACTATAATAAAAAAAACTAACTATTTAACACTGTACTGTGTATACCACAGTTACTACAGTCTAATAGTGCACCATAATACTATGCTGTAGCATTCACTAACAAAGAGTTGTAAATACTACACAGTATACATAACGTCACAATAAACTGCTGTTGAAGTTCTATGGTGGCTGTGGTATTACTATAGTAATAAACTAAATATTTTAATACTGTACTGTTTACACCACAGTTACCACAGTTTAATAGTGCATTATGCTGTAGCATTCACTAACAAAGAGTTGTAAATAGTATGTATTTGTGCACTATTAAACTGTAGCAACTGTGGTGTAAACAGTACAGTATTAAAGTATTTTGTTTATTACTATAGTAGTATTACCACAGCAACCATAGAACTTCGACAACAGTTTACTTAAGGTATTTTACTATAGTTGCCTGTGGTTAAAAAGCATAGCATCTACTATAAATTTACTATAGTATTTTTATGTAACGTTAATTATAGCTTCAAGTATTTACCGCCTCAACAGGCAAATATTGCAGTTTAGTAGAAAACGTGTCTCTCTTTATAATACAGTCATCGTGTGCAACATATGCTGTTTTAAATCTATATATATATACTTAGAAATATGGTATAAACCGCAAAATTACGGACTTTCCTCGATCCATTCTGTTCAGTTTTACTTCCTGCCCTCCATCTGAATTTCGCGCGTCACTAGAATCACGTGATTGCAAACAACATTGCTCTCGAAAGGAGAATAAATGAATAAGTTATGCTTATTTAAAACATATTTGTTCTTATGAAGAACAGCATCAGTGAAAGTCAAACAGGCGTTTTCGTGTGTTGTAAATTACATATACTCCTAAAGCTTGCTTGACGTCATGGACATGTCATTGTGCATAGGTGTATATATCTATGGTCATTGTGTGCATTTTATATCGGACACAACGCTATAAGGCTGTACAGACAGTATATCACACCAAATGTCCCAATACAACACTGTACTCTCTGTACTGTTGTAGCGACCAGTTCATTAATCCATCAATGTGATTAACATCAACAGATATCAACTCACTAACAATTAGCCATAGCTCGTGAACACCGACTGCACGTTTTTGCAGCTCAATAAACACTTTAAGACTGTTTACAACACTGTAGTGCCAAAAATGTATATTCATGTTCGCTCAATTGTCCTTTGATTAGAAATATTAACAGATATCCACTCACCTTATAACAGCATGATCTCCTTGCATAAGAACCATGTGCCAATGTTTGCAGCTCCAGTTTATAACATAAAAATGGCTAACTGGTCTTAATGTCCGTTCTCTTCTGTGATTGGTAGTCTACATTCAAATTCTGCGATGCGATTGGTAGTCTATGGTGACGGTAACTCTCAGCCAATTGAAGGAGGTAAAAGAATGGGTCACGCCCCCGGGTAGCCAGAGTTTAGTCAAAATCTGCTTCTCGCTTTTCCCTTCTCATATCACATTAGTATTAATTATCAATAAACAATAATGAATATAGAATGGAAATGCCTGATGAATGTTTGAAAATGATTATTTTAATAATAATAAAAAATTGTTTATTGTTATTATTCCATCCTGTCAATGTACATCAAGGCGCAAACAGTATCTGCCAGTCAAACTATAACATCCAACTAGAAATGTAAAGTTTGTAGACAAACTTTATGGTGGCTTGAGAAAGCCTCCTCTGAATGTTTGAAGTAGTTTCAAAGTTTAAATAATTGAAGTGGTTTAAAGCAACACTTGGTATAGAGAACTACAAATAGGATAGCATGTTTCTAGTATAAACTAACATGTATTTAGCATAAATTTAGTATGAATATGCATGTTGCTAGTATGTTTGTAGTATAAATATGCATGTTGCTAGTATGTTTATAGTATAAATATGCATGTTGCTAGTATGTTTGTAGTATGAATATGCATGTTGCTAGTATGTTTATAGTATGAATATGCATGTTGCTAGTATGTTTGTAGTATGAATATGCATGTTGCTAGTATGTTTGTAGTATGAATATGCATGTTGCTAGTATGTTTATAGTATAAATATGCATGTTGCTAGTATGTTTATAGTATAAATATGCATGTTGCTAGTATGTTTATACTATAAATATTCACGTTGCTAGTATGTTTATAGTATGAATACGCATGTTGATAGTATGTATATAGTACAAATTAGCATGTTGTTACTATGTTTCCAGTATGGATTAGTATGTTTGTTAGTATATCCAATGTAAAGTCAATGGCAGCTTTTTACAATGGGAAACTATGAGATAGTTGCTAAGTACGTTTCATCCAAGCCATCGAACTGACAATATCTGAGGTTTTCCGTTTTAGTTAAAGATTGTCAAAACTAATTTGTAACTGGATTAACTGGCATGGATTGTTTATCTTAAAGAGCCCCTATTATAGGATTTTACAAATGAGCTTCCATGCAGTGTGTAACAGAGCTCTAGTGAATGAAAACATCTAGCTGAGGTTTAAATCTGAAAGTGCATCGTGTTTAAAACGATTGATTCTTTAGGAAAATAGTCAACTCAGAGTCTAATAAATGAATCGGGTTGGTTTCAGATCTTTTGTTTGATCACATCGACGTCAATACGGTACATCACAAAATATTTACCTCCAGTTCTGTTAAAATGTGCATGTGCTTTCACTTCAGCGGAGGCTCGGTGGATCACGGGACTGATCATGATGCAAAGATGACCATCACTAATAGATGGAGATTCGGCTGTGGGGAATAAAGGGTTAAAGTTCATTTTCACAACAATACCACAGAATAGCCAACCGTGTGCTGTGTTTGTTCCTGCCATTTTACTTTTGATACAATAACCTACACTACAACATGGGATTCGCCGGCCTTTGGCTATTAAAGGAAGGAGCAGCAGAGACTTTTGTGTATGGGACTTTGTCAGACTTTGTCAGTAACTATTACAGTTCACATGGACCAATTTCTTCTTCCTCCAATTGTAATCACCCAGAGCGGCTTGTAATCATGTATCTGTAAAAGATCAGTGCTTATGCTGTATCTCTCAGTTTAAATCTGTATGGGGCTGTTCAAATATCACGTCCAAAACTATGTTAAAAATGTGACGCGTGCTTCTTCCTTTATCAGTTTTAGTTGCAACTGGCGGTCCTCTGCTTTTTGCGTTTGCTATGACCACCATCAGCTGTTCATTATGCTGCATTCACACCAGACGCGGAACACGTGGACAAATCGTGCTTTTCGTGCATAAATAGCCGCGTGAACATTTGAGTTTACTCGCTTTATTTGCTTGTCAAAATTCGAATTATTCGCACGTCAAATCCGCTTCATTCTCGCATCAAATTCACTTTACAACAGACGTGGATTCGCGTGATGGGAACTGCTTCTGTCTTCCCGGTGACTCTAGCTTGGTTGCTAAATGGCTAACATGGATTTAATTGATAAAATAACTGTTTATGTGCTTTATGAAGGCTGAAAAACAGCGTTGATACGTTTAGGGCCGTGTCTGAGTCCACTAGATCATTTCAGAAGTGCATCCAGCTCTGTGAGCTAATAAACTCCTCCAGAAAGTGAACCTGGATGATAAAGGCTTTCAGTGGTGCTTCTGACTGAGCCCAGCCCAGTTTGATGAACTTTTTGTCGGTGTCGGCTAGAGACTTTTCCCCGGGACTACAACAACAGGTGTACGTCACAATCATGCCCCCACTAGAGCAAGCTATTGATTGATTAACGCGGCGCCAATGTCCACTGAAGTTCAGACTTTCGAACTCAAGCACTTCGCGCGAACACGCAAAACACTCAATTTGCGCGTTTCGTGCCCCAGGATGTCTATTCGCGCGTTTGCATTGACTTAACATGTAAATCACGAGCGCTTGACGCGCATTCCGCGTCTGGTGTGAACGCAGCATAACACACGGGGAGCGGTCATTTATTTAAATAGTTCAACTTTTACCACTGTGTGGATTA